AAGTATGCTTGAGAATTTTGATTCATAGGCACATTTCTATTTAGAAGTGCTCTCTTTTAGTTTATATCTAAGATAGAAAAAAATTCATGATTCTTTTATAATTTGAAATTATTTCTAAAAGTATTTACAAGTACATTTAAAAAAAAGTGATCAAGATAGAGTAGTAGAAAGTAAGCTTTAATCTTTACAATAAGAATCACCATTAGCTACTATATATGCTGGTAAATTCCAAAATCTTATTTACAACATGGATTGAAAAGACGAAGCCCTCATCAATCAATTTTGATATGGATTAAAAGATAATGTTAAAGATTTGTTATTCAGAATGCCAAAAGTAGAATATTTTATTATTCAACCATTGTATGCAACAATCAATTATCTAAAAGATTTCAAAAATAAAGACTTTGTTAAAAAAAAATAAGTTAAATAATGATAATAACTTCTAAGTTTTCAAAAACTTATTCATCAAGATCAGAACCAATACAAATTGATATGGTACATTTTAAATCCTTCACAAAATAGGAAAAGATTTAACATTGTTAAGAAGGTTTGTGCTTATATTGTGAATAAACTAAGCATACTACTTAATATTTTCTAAAGAAGCAATGCAATTACAAAATGAAGAATACAATTATTAAAAAAGATAATGTATTAGAAAATAAGTTTCTCTAACTATAATAGAAATTGAGTGGTCAGAATCATGTGCAACACCTACTAAAGGTCCTATTTTTTGCTCAGATCTTTCACCTTGTTTTACAATAGATGTATGTTTAGAATCTAAAATCACAAAGTCTTTACATTATTAGATTCAAGAGCCTTAGCTTTTTTTATAGATGAAGATTTTATCAAAAAATAAGTAATACCTTCATTTAAAAAAAACTAAACTTGTATATGAAAAAATCATACATGGTCATTTGTTGTCTTTTGGAGATGTTACTTATAAGATTGTTTCTTTAAATGTAGCAATTAAAGATCATAATAGCATAATAATATTTAATGTAATAAGATCTTACAACTTGATTGTTTTAGAATTATCATGGTTACAAAAAAAATCCTCAAATAAATTGGATTTCTTATAACCTTAATTTTTTTAATAGTTTAATCCAAAATCTTATTAGTCAAGCAGAAATACATTAGTCTAATACATCCAAATTCTTATTGGTAAGTATAAGAATTCTCATGTATGTTACAAAAAAAGAGTCATCTTTTGCTATATATGCCTTATCCATTTTTAGATGGTAGAAAGATATCAAATAGTATTTCTAGCCGGTATCAAAATTTCTAGGACATTTTTTAAAAGAAGAATTTAAATATTTTTTTAGAGAATCAACCTTACAATTATTTAATTGATTTACAAAAAAAACTCAACCACCATTTAAACCAATCTAAAGCCTATTGCAAAATGAATTGCCTATATTAAAGGAGTACATTGATTAAAACTTGGCTAAATGCTTCATACGCCATTCAAAAATCTTTAGTAGGAGCTCCTATCTTATTTGTGAAAAAAAAGATGGATTTCTACAAATGTGCATAGATTATTGAAGACTTAATAAGATCTCCATAAAAAATAGGTATTTCCTACTTTTAATTTTAGGACTTTTTGATCAACTCAATGAAGCAAAGATCTATACAAAAATAGATCTACAAAGAATATACAATATTTTCTACATTAAAAGAAAAGATGAATGGAAGATTTTTTTTTGAATTAGTTATAGATATTTTGAATATAATGTCATGCCTTTTGGATTCACAAATATACCACTTATTTTTTAATATTTTATGAATGACATTTTTTGTGAGTTACTTGATGATTTTGTTGTTTTTTTATTTAAGCAACATTCTAATCTATTCTAAGAATATATAAAAACATGAACTTCACGTTTGTCAAGTATTACAAAAATTTAAAAATATTGGATTGTAGGCCAAGATAAAAAAAAAAAGTGATTATTCCACACTACTCAAGTTGATTTTTTAGAATACATCATTTCTAAAAAAAGACTAATGATAGATTCAAAGAAGGTCCAAACTATCATAGATTAGAAGACCTCAAAAATAGTAAGAGATATGCAATATTTTTTAAAATTTGCTAATTTTTACAAGATCTTCATCAAGAATTTTTCTCAAGATTGTAACTCTTCTCACACATCTGATATATAAAGACAAACTTGAATAGAGCAAAAAAGCAAAAGCATCTTTTGAAGCTTTAAAAATAGAATTTATTTTTGTACCAATTTTGTATCATGTCAATTTTTCCAAGGCATTCTTTATAGAAATAGATGCATCATACTTTGCTATAGGTATCATTTTGTCACAAATAGGAGTAGATGACAAGCTCCACCCAATAGCTTTTCATTCCAAGAAATTTTTAAGAATCGAGATTAACTATGAGATCTATAACAAAGAGCTTCTTGCAATTATAGATTTGTTTCAAGAATACCAATAGTATTTAGAAGGCGCCTCAAGTTATACTCACTCAATATATGGATCATAAGAACTTCAAGTATTTCATGTCAATATGTATTTAGAATTGCCGCTAAAGTTGTTGAAACATGTTTTTAAGAATTTTGATTTCAAGATTACTTATTGACCTAAAAAATAATAAGCTTTATCAAACATCCTTTCTAAACATTCTAATCTTATATCAAAAGAAAGAAATGTAGCTTTTAATCAACAAAGAATGATTTTCTTGAAGCTAGAACATTTTCATCTTTAAGCAATAAAATCAATATTGACTATTGATTCAACTTTTGTCAAGCAAATTAAATCAAGTATGTCCTTTAATCTTCTTGTTTATGATATCAAAAATAATTCTTTTAAGTCTCATGATACTTCTAAGTTTAAATTTAAGAATAATCTATTCTATTTTGAAAGACAATTATATATTCTAAAAGAAGAAGCATAATTATGTGTTCTTTAAGCTTGTCATGACTTTCCAATAGTTAGACATTTTGAATATAATAAGACTTTGGAACAAATATCTAAAGTTTTTTGATAGCTTTAAATATAAAAAGTAGTCAAAGACTTTGTACAATCATGTGATATTTGTTCAAGTTTCAAAATTTATTTTCATTGGCCTTATGGACTTCTTTAGCCATTATCTATTTTGAAACAACCATAGTCTTCTATTTTTATATATTTTATCATGGATCTTCAAATCTCAAATTTATATGATTTTATATTTATGATTATTTTACCAAGAAAGCACAAATTGTATAATATACAAAATCTATCATAAGTGAAGAAAGAGCTAGGTTTTTTCTTGACAATATATATTGTTATTATAGATTATCCATGGATATAATATTGAATAGAGTGATTTAATTTATACTAAGATTTTAGAAAATCCCTTTTAAGATTTTAAAGGTAGATATAAAGCTCTATACAACTTTTTATTTGTAAATTGATACTAGTGAATACACATGGGAGCTACCAAAAAATCTTGCAAATGCAACAAAAATAGTTGAGGCTTTTCATTAATGACATCTATTAAAACCAAGATGAAAAAAATCAAGATCCATAAAAGATGATGACTACTATTTGTCAACCTCGTCTCTAGGAAGGAGATAATATCATGGACATACATATTTATTTCAATAATTACCTATGTTATTAGGTAGAAATAAGTAAAAATAGATTAATTTCATAATATCTTTTAGAAAAGCTTTTTAGAAGCTTTTTAGCTTTTGCTTTGATTTAATACATGTTTGTAATTAATTGATAGGCTAGAAACTTAGTCAATAAATTAGCCACATATCACACATGTTAATAGCTTGTGAAAGAATCTAATTATGTGGTCTACATATAAATAATTTATCTTGAAAGTTAAGTTATGTGTCTAGCAAAGTCAATCTAAATTGGAAGTCTTATAGCATATTGCCATGTCGATCCTAATTAGAAAGTATATATGGAAATAAGAATAAAGCCTTATTTACTCTTATCAATGTCTTTCTAGTTCTTAGTCTTATTTTATGAGTTTTTAATCTTTTTGTATTTGACAATAGCCATTTTAATTCAATATATTACCATCTTTGAGTGATTTCCTAGACTTTTTGACTAATACAAGAATGTATTGAGTTTTTCTTTCTTTGAGATTTATATCCTTGATACAACAATATTTGAATATAAATTTTAGAAAGACTAAGCATCAATAATCTAAATCTTGTTACCTTAAAAAAACCTAATTATTTTAGTCTCATTTTCAAGTGTGAGGTCCTTGTATTATTTTTTCTTTATTTTCTTTTAGTTTTTGCTTATATTTGATAGCAAACTCAATAATAATACTTTAGAAAAAAAAATCACAAAGTATATATATATATATATACATACATACATACATACATACATATATTTATTGCATTAAATTTATTATTAATATTAAAGAGATATGATCAATTCTTAAAATAGTTGATTATAGAGATTTAATCTTCAAAAGGAGTAGTTCTTTTTGCACTCAATTACACAAAAGGCATAGCTACAACAATTGATGTACGTTTAAACTTGCAAATTATACTTTGTGTAATGACACCATTAAAAAATTGACACTTATATTTGTTCTTATAAAAGTCATTAATTTTCTAGAAATCTCATTCTATGTATATATATATATATATATATATATATCTTGTGAAACCAAGATAAATAAATAAATAAAACATCGGATTAGTTGATTAATAGAAACACATACACATCGGATTCAAGAAAAAGTTTCATAATTTTGACAGTCGAAGTTTGAAATCCTAATCCATTCCGCACTCCCAAAACTCGTCACTTTACTGTCACCAAAGCTTCCGAAAAGCCATTGAAATGCTCAAAACCAGTCTACTTCCAAAAGGATCGATTCAGACGACACTCAGTCCTCGGAACCCTCGGAATCCTCGTTATCCCTTTTGCAAAAAAATATGTGACAGATCTGCACAAACTGACTCACTGAGGGCATCAGATTCAATGCCAATGAATGAGCGAAAGGGCAAGGATTCCACCATGTCGCCGCAGCAGATCTGAAACGGTGACAAAACCCTTTCGGATGGCGCACTCCGACCCTCATGCCGACGGTTGATGCCTGCTATCGAAATTACAACACATCTGCACACTGTCGTCGGAGCGACGTTCGGAGCCCCGTCGATGAATCCAGGCGCCGGGATCTGCACCCGATGTCGACGCTGACGGTTGAGGTCAAGGACTGCAAGTGCTCATGCTGAACTGGTCCAGTTGAAGGAGTAGTCTAAGATCTGAGCGTTTCGAGCGTTTACAACAGTCGCTTTGTTTCCGAGTCTGATTCCGAGTCGAAGTTGTTGCTGGTCTCCGAGGGTGGTAAACCATGAAAATCTAGATTGAGTTCCAGATTTAGGAAGAATGGACTCCAGTCTTCGTGGGCGTGACAACAATGGATGCTGCTAACCATGTCGTAAATGTTTCTCCGAAGGGAATGTCGCTGGAGGCGGTGTTATGCGTCGACAACAGTTGGAGTAGTCTCCGCGCAGTATGTATGACCTGCATAATTTTAAGCTTGCTCCTACAGCCCCGTCTGCCATCAGCGGTTGCAGAGGGAAGGGGCGAAACGCATACGAAGATTGTACGTTTGTTCGCGTCAATAGTCGGTGTGGTCCTGCTCGAGAGGTAGGGCCCGAGACTGCTACTAGGAATGACGACCCAGAGGAAGCTTTCCTGCAGGGGTATCTGAGGGACTTGATGTCGACACCCGCGGAGAGCTTCCAGGAGCGGAAACGCGGCCCGTACCCGTTTCAATGCTGCGGTGAAGGTGGGCGGCAGAGTTGGATGGCATTCCCACCGGACGAGTATACCGCCTCTGAAATGAAACGTGTTCTTGAGTCCACCATGAGGGCGGATTGTTCACGAATGACCGTACCACAAGTCAGCGTTCTCGATGGAGATTGCGAGCAGGTCACGAGCTCCCGGTGTCCGAATTTACAATCTGTCGACGTGTATACCGACCCGGTAACGAAACCCTCAAACATAAGTCGGACCAGCATGAGCCCATCGCGACGTGATCCTAGCACGGTCGACGTGCGAGGCTGCCCCGTAACGAGCATTACAACCACACCAAACTCCCAATCACCAACCTACAGCAACTCTGCCAACTTCCAGGGAAGCAGGCGCCAACTTCATCGTCAACCCTGCAGCAAGCAAAACGATCTCGGCCCGTGCGGGTCAGAAACGAAGGTCCCTGCAGAATGCGTTGCTGAGGGGATGCGCACGATCGGGTCACGCTTTACGACGTTGCGGGTCAGTAGCGAAGGCGAGAGGAGTGAGGGGACAGGCTTGCCGCACTGCAGCAGTTGCGCGGCGCAGGGGACGAGCATGGGCAGTGGTTGGGATTGGCGATGCGGAGGGTGTCGGGGCCCAGTGAAGATGAGGAGGTGCCTGGGTAATCCGAGGCGAGGTCACATGGTGCGCAGGCCCTGCGGTGAGGTGTGGCACTGCGCTGATTGCTGCCGGATAATGCGCCAGCACGTCGCTCTTCAGTCCCTGGCCCTGCTGCGTCGCTCTGACAGGGCCCTGGCCCTCACTACGTCCGCACTGTCACCGCGGTGATCCTACCCTTCACTCCTCTCTCATTCTCCTCCCAGGATTTCATTCCGTTGTTTTCTGTGAACTAATATATCCCTTTTAAGCAGACTTACTACTCGGGTAGATTTCAGTATTACCGTTTTATCTTAAAATATGTGTATTCATGTCATATCCTTACATATGATGTTTTACATAATCAGGTACTGAATGTGGATAAGTTTATATTTGTATTTATACTCATTAATTACTTTCATTATTTTTTGTGAGGCATTAAGTTATTGTACTTCTCAATGATATGCAGTGTGCAGTATTCATCCGCCTGTTCAAATCAGTCCAGGGGTGGTGGATCTATGAAACCAGTCTAACCACAACTCTTGATCACATCAAAGAAATACCACAAGGTAGAAAGAACCACCAAAAAGAATGAGAATATATCATAGGAGAAATCAAACAGACCTTACAGTATTTGCGACGAAGTTTCTGAACCTTGCAAAACATAGATAGCCAGAACTTAAATCCGCAACAACTAGCTGGATAATAATCCATTTCCTCTCCGAATGCAGCAAAAAGGAACGTTACATAGAGCTGCTGCCCACATTCATTCAGTGTACAATATAAGAAACAGTCTATATGACAGTCGAGGAACTCGGTTGTAGCAAGTGATCATTGGATGAAATTCCGCGGGAATGCGAACTGATCACCAAAAAATGATTATATAGATCCTAATATCCATTGACAACAGAGGCACTCAACAGCAACATTGCGGATGAAAAAAGTGTTGAAAACACCGCCGACTCAGCTCATGTGGCAAAACTGGTCTCCTACGTCAAGATACATTGCTCCGAGCGAAATCTCGGTTTAGCTAACAAACGCTCAATCAGGCCCTGCAACCTTCGAGCACCGGGACCTGGTCTAAGGACGGCGGCATCCCCCCTCACTCCACATGGGTCAGCTCCAGCACCTGTGACAGTTTCCAAAATTCATGTCAACATCATAAAGAAGACCAAACCAATTTGTCCACTCTAAAATTATGCGAGGGAGTCAAATCGCACGACATGAACTTCAAAATGAATTAGCAAACGAGGAATAAGAACGTTCAATTAGATATAAACATCGGTGGATGCAGAGAAGAAAAAGTTAGTCGCATACCTACACACCAACCTCCAGGAGAGAACATTCCTGGAGAGCGTCCCAGTAACTGCTTGTCAATAAACGACAGTACAGGATCATCCTTACTAAATTTTCTAGCGAAGGGAGCTCCACTACTAGTCATGTTCTGGAAATCTTTGAGAGTAAGAGCTAGAGGATGTTGCTTCGGGGGATTATCCCATGCAATGTAGTGAAGGTCATGGTTTACAGTCGTATTTTTGAACTCCGGGCTGTTGCAGAGTACTGTGTGAAAGTAGCCCTCCGGTGACGACACAAAATTAGTATAATACATTAGCAATACTCGGGGTAGATTGTCCCAACCCATAATTGTAAATTCCATAAACGATCTTGATAGAACCGCCCATGCAGATCCTGGCATCATGAAAGGAAAAGAGCGCATTCAGAACTTGCTGGTGCGATAAAATGCATGCGAAAAGACGAGAAATCTCATGCGAAAAAAGATGAACTAGACCAACAACTATACATTATAAGCAACCTTGCTATTTCGTAACGAAAATCGTAAAAGGACGACCAAAGATTGAAGTGCTACAAGTCTAATGCAGGCAGAAACATGTCAAATTAAAGCACATTCTAACTACATTACTTTATATAATTCCTCTTCACAATAGATCGAAAATCAATCTTGTCCCTTGAACCGGCCAAATTGAAGAACCTTAGAAGGAAGAATGAGGACAATCATAATAAAAAAAATTCTAATAACCCGCAGATAAGGTGCAATCACACACAATCAAAGTCATCGGTAAAAACAAAAAGTGATCAGCCAATTTCGTTAAAATTTGGGGGTTAGGGGTTAGAAGTTGCGACAGCGGTGCTTGCCTGTGAATAAACGGAATGCTGTTGGGAGCGCTCGTCTTTGAGTCGCCCAGAAAATGTCACTCTTCCTGTTCATGTACAATCCAGGGTCAATGATGATAGGCTTTGCCCTTTGAAACCTGCAAAAGAAAAAAGAAAACGATCTGCATTAGGCTTTGATGATTCTCATTCCATCTTATTTTATGAAGACATTTCCAGTTTATCAGAACGAAAACTCAAAACCCACTCACTATTAGGGTCCACCCATCACACTAGCGCCATTACTGTGGTGGTCATATACTCATACTAGTAGTCAGTGCAGAAAATCTGCAAACTTACTCTTTCCATCCAATATTGCTAGTGTGCTCAATGAAGTTCAGGTCCCGAGGCAAAAATGAAAATACGTGTAGAATATCTGAAATTCCAAATCAAGACAATGATATTAGTCAAACGTGAAGCTGCGAATTCGAACCCCTATTAATCTGGAAGCTACCATGAAGACTTACATTTGAGAAAGATACTAACGACAAGGACGATGTGATAGGAGCTATTAATTCTCAGCACAACTACGTCGTGATATTCTTCTGCTTCCAGCTGTACACCAACAGTAAACTGTCATGGAGGGGAGTCTAACCGTCTTGAGTGACCAATGGATAGTCTGAGGCACTAAGATTGATGAACCAGTCCCAGTCTTTAAAACTCCTTAGCAGTATTGCAGCACCGTGAAGCGTTGTTGAAATCATTGTAGGGCCCCGATAAGTCACCAAGTTCGCCTTCCCAATCATGATTACATTGTTGGTCTCTTGAAAAGCAGGATCAGAGCGCATGTATCTGGCTAACTCAACTCTCTCCTTAGGAGGAGCCTCGAGATCCAAGTGTAATACATAATAATTTCGCGGATGGTAAAGAGCTTGTAGTGTCCTCCGAATCCGCATTCCATCACCTTTATTTCCAGATATCAGATAAGCAAGCCGAGGGGGGGCAGGCAGACTAGTAACGGGTAGTCCAACTATATTATTCTCTACGAAAATAGATGACTCTTCTCTTTGAAGGAAACTAAAATATGAACCTGTCGAGGGCTTTAGGCTCATTCCCGCAATTAGTAACATAATAAGAGATATAAATATGCTGACGGCGAGAGGTATCCTCCATTTCCTCTCCATAATTGAAAAACTTGTATTCATGGTGCTCACAGTATCAAGAAATCTCTGTAAAAGCTGATGCCAGCTACCAGTTCTAACCCAGGCTCCGCAAAGCACTAATCTCGGAGACCTGGGGCAACCGAAGGTCTCCTAGACAATATCATTCCTACTATGCAGAAGAGCAACGTATATTTTTTACGTGCCTTCCTGAGACCTAAAAGTTTCCTTTCTTTTCCCAAGAATTAAACGGTTTCAATGATGCCTTATCAGCCTGCACAAGTGGTATGTCCATCCGGCACTGAACGTTGGCACAAGAAGAAATCGCTAATTCCCACTTTGGATGTAGCGGCATGCATTTCTACTAATCAAGACGGTACCAATGAATAATTTTGGAAGCCTCACGCACCAATATGCTGAGTATCACTAATCGATGCTTTTAACGGAATCCTCTTATCTGCAAGACTGCTGGGCACCAACGTTGCCGAGTTTCATTTCCTCCAGGAAAAGAGTAACGATTCTGCTTCCTGCATCAGGACGAGAATCATTGAGATTGGTAAAATATTAAGTTCAAGGACCACATCAGAAACTGCTTTCTTGACCACTAGAACTTAAAGATGCACTAAAGATACATGGAACAAACGATGTACTAATTCGTCATATCAGCAATGACCTATTCGCCAACACAGAAATCCTACAACACATCACTTGTAATTGTTTCAGGCTATACACGACGCTCTGAATGAAAAAATAGAACAGCCTCAAGACGGTGAATTAACTTCAGTGCTACTATAGTTCACTTACTAAAACAGACATCGCAATCCCTTCAACGGTACGCTTACAGAAAATCTTAAGCAGATCCATAACCAGAAAGTAAAAGAACTATCCCACAATAAGTTGGTACACAGCAACTGAAGTGAGTGGGGGAAAACTTCAAAGTAAAATCCAAGAATAGTCCAAAAGAACAGGGTCACACTATAGTACAGTATGAGGAACACGAGATCGAATATTTTACTAAAACAACTTCCAGGGTCGAACTTCGCCCCAAATCTCCGAGAAATAAAGGCTCGAGGAAAATCTCTACATCAGCCCAAGTAGAAGAAACGGCATGAAATACTTCCGAGACCGAAAGACCCAAAAATAAGGAATACTCAACAAGTCCTAAGACCAAGTCCTGTACCTCAAAAAAAGACAATTCTCGCTAACGCATGGAAAATAGGACGAAGCAAAGTCGCGAAATTCACGTTCGCTGCTGCTCACCGGGGTTGTTCACTAAACCTACGACATCACGCCATGCTGGGGAAAACAGCACCTTGCTATCTGATAGCGTACAGAAAGGAAAGCACACAAACAGGATGATCGACAGCCTCGAACAAGAGCTTAGCCAGATTATGAATTAGCGCATTGAACTATGAGCATGTAGAATGTCCAACTGAAGCTTTCTAATGATTCCTCAATCCTACTTAGGTGTAAGTAATGATACTCGTAATTGTACAGAAAGAGACTCGCGTAATGGGCAACGAACAGCCGAGGGACCAAATCTAACCACAAAAACAATTAGACGGCCAGAAACTTGAAGATAGAACCAGGAGCAGAAAGGTTGATTGGATCGGTGCCAATAATCACTACCTCTACAATCCAACAGCCCTCACAGCTGGAATCGAAGCACTTCTGGTTAACAATTCGAAGATTGTACGAGAAAGAAAAGAAAAAAGGGAGAGATAGGCAGGGGCACATAGATGAAGCCACTCATGACCTTCGTAGGCGGAATAGGATCAATTTCACCATCTCTATCGGTTCTCCCCTTCCGGATCCAAGAGAATACACTGGGACACTGAGGCAGAATCAATGTGGAGACACCAAATCCTCGACAAAACCTAAACCCCGATTGCACCTACTCTCTAATCTACCGAATTTGCGTGAGCCCGTCACACACCATCAATCCACACTAAGCCCGACCTAACACAAAAGCAAGTTCGAATCGCCAGGAACCAGGGCATACGCAACAGAGCAGCTCCAATTCAGAGCAGGAATGTACAGCAATGCGACACACACACCAACCGGCAAGATCCGAACAGTGCTCCAATCACATAACCTATTCTCGACCGTGAATCTGCAGGATAGCTCCCTCTTAAAAAAAAAAACACGCAAAAAAGAAGAAAAAAAAATAAAACATGGCTCACCTGCGAAAGACTCGCGGACCAAGCGGCGCCTACCTCATATCTATAAATAGACGAGGCGGAGCCACAGCATGCTCCAACCCGCAAAAGCTGGCATATGATCTAAATATATAATTCTGTGAAGCCCGTAGAAACAAAAACTGAGGAGCAGCAGAGAAGCATCAGAAGTAGAAATCGCCGAGACCAGGGCAATGAAGGAAAGAGGGGGGGGGAAGTTTGGAAGCCGGGCCGGGTGAGACTCACCTAACCCACCCCACACTTCCCCTCTGAGCCCGCGGGCTTAGGCTCATGGCCGATGGCCGGGCGTCGGGATTGGGGGCCTTCTACCACGGGATTCTCCTGTGTGAACGCGTCCCGGTATTTTGCAAACTAGGTTAATCAATTGAACGCATTTTTTCTGGATTTTTGGGTTTTTGAAAGGTTGAAAAAGATTTTGTATCCATGACACATCCTTTTTCTGCATTCACCTACATATGCATGTTTTTTCTCTACGTTAGATATATATATATATATATATATATAGTACAAGTCTTTTTTTGTTCCTAAAACATTGTATACCAACGGAAAATTTTAAACATCGCCTATTCCATAATTATTCAAGATGAATGGGGTAAAATTATTATTAAAAAAAATCAAAATCAAAATCAAAGAAATTAACTTGATGCACAAACAAATTCACCACCAGTATATTTTTAATATTATATAATATTAAAACTAGAAAGCATGTTATTTAAACGGGTTATCTTTAAACGTCTTACTCTTTTTTTCCCCACTAAACTACAATAAAAGGTGGTCTAATACAAAATTGCATAAGTAGGAGTCAATAAAGTAGAGTCCCACTTTGCAATTGTTGGCTAGGAATTGTAGAAGCTTTTGAATGGTCTACAATGTGGGGTATAAATGTTGATTTGTGTGGGTGATTGCACCCAAATATCACACTTTCTGTGTTGCAATGGAAGTACACTTTGCCATGATGTGGTGAAAAACACTTGAAGAAACAAATACACAAATGAATAGTTGAATGACAAAGACTAAATAACATAAAAACAAAACAAAACAAAACAAGAAAGGACTTTCCAATCATTGTGCCTTTGTATTGTTGTGTGCTTCATCAACTTAATAATAGAACACAACAATACATATAGATGTTGTAATTAATAATTAATATTTAATTATATATGAGTATATATATATATATATATGATAGAATTTAAATTTAAAAAATTAATGCATGTATAATGTTATATAATTTTTATTTCAAAAAATAAAATTTATGATTTTAAAAAATCTATATATATGTATATATATATATATATTGAAAATTTTCTTAGTATTTCTATTTTAATTTTAAAATGCAATTAAAAGGTTTATTTTTCTTACCATTCAAAAATGAAAAAATAAATCAAAAAAAATCATAATGTCTTCTTGTATCTTATACAAAAGTTAGTGTTATTTAAATTATTAACTTAGTAGTTTTAAAAGATGCTTTGAAATTATAACATTATAAAGTGGTGTGTGTCACTATTTGTAACTAAGGTACTATAAAAGTCTCTTATAATATAATTAATAATACATAAAATGAAGAAGATTCTATTTTTATCTTGTTTCATTAATGTAATAAGTAGTTATTCTTTCTAAAATAAAAACAAAAACATATCATAAAATCTATATCAAAGTACACATTTTAAAATATTAAATTTTAATTGAATTACTATCTAAAGGTATTTTTAAAATTAGGTTTCTTATGATTAAAATATTATAATAAAATAAATAGAATTAGATCAAGTGGGAATTAGAATTTGTACAATAAATAAGATTGGGGTTTTTTAACATTCAAAATCATAAATCTATATAGACTCAAACTTTGAGCACTTGGTTGACAAAGACACCATCTAGGGTTATATTAGAACTTTTAATATTTTAGAATAAAATATTATTTTAAATCTATTATTATTACTGTTAATATTTTTTAAAATTTAAACTTGTTTACTTGTTTAATATGGCTTTTTGCAAAACTAGATTGAAAATGACCCACCCATTTACTAAATCAACTCACCATATCATAATCAACATTAAAAAAAATAGATCATCTCTAAAAACATCATTATTATTATGGCACTCATCCCAACTCCCCTTGTTCTCCATAATAGGGTGAGTCAATTGACTAAATGGGTGGGTCATTTTAACATTTACTTTATATTTAATATGTTATTTACAATTTAAAAAATTCGCCATCGAATATTTTTAACTTTGAAGTAAAGATGGAATACAACTCACATTTGAAGTAGACTTCTAGTATTGTTTTTGCCAATATGAATGTCTATATTTTTGCTTACATCATCTCTTATAAAAGATTAGTGTAAGCATAAAAATTCATAAAAATATTTCTAATATTATCTTTATAAGAAAAAATAACTTTACATATAAGATAGTAAGGATTTTACTCAACTTTCCTTCTAAAGCAAAGAAAGCCACTCAAACCAACATTTTAAATAAATGACCATGTTTTGTTTGTAGAAAAATAGATCACATTACTTGAAATTGCTTTGAAAGAAAAGAAAAGGAAATCCAAATTTTTGTTTTTGTTTTTGTTTTTTGTTTTTGTTTTTTTTTTTTCTTTATATAAAGATGTGATTATACCTTGTAGCAAGTGGCAAGATCTCTATGGCTCCATGTCTAAGTAGATTGTAGCCTTGAATGCTAAAAAACACATGATACAATAATATATATATATATACGTAAATATTATAAATATAAAATTATTTTAGCAATAAATATATTTATAGATAAAAGTAATATAATTATAAATATTACTATATAATTAATTATATTAGTAAATATTGTAAGAAGTAAAATACAGAAGATTTTATTTGAAGATAATTTATATATATTTAAGATAAAGTCTAACCTTTATTTTAATAAGCATACTTATTATAAGAAGTTTCATAGTTATTTATTCAGTTTCATATTATTTACAAAAATTAGCTATTTAAATATAAATAGTACAAAAGTACTTAAATCCAAGATAATTATTTTGCATCTTTAATAAACAAGTCCTAATGCCATTTTTTCTTTTTATGTAAAAAATGTATCTAAAACAAACAACAAATGATTTCAATTCTCAATGGTATAACATCTGATACCAAGTTGTTTAAGATTGTATATTTAGATATTTTTGGACTTATCAAAACTACATAAATAGAAGGATATAAATACATTTTAATATTTAATTATGATTTTTAAAGAAGATATGGATTAATATTATAAAAACTAAAAAGCTTCGCTTTTAAACTTTTCATAGTTTGAGATTTATTCTCAAAAATAACTTATTATAAAAATCAAGATGTTAAGAATGGACAATATAAGTAAGTTATAAATAAATTAAATTAATTTATTTCTCAAGAAATAATAGTATTATAAGATAATTATGAACACCCTATATTCTATAATAGAATAATTTTTTTAAAAAATAATTAAAAATATTTTTTAAATTATATAAAATATGTTTATAATCAAAAATTATTATTAAGAATTTTAAAAAAAAGTAATAATAAATGTCTTATACAAACAAAATAGATGCCTTATAAGTGATGTTGCATCAATGACAATTAAAGAAGCTTAAAGTAAGAAAAACCTTGTATTTCTTACGCAATAATTTTTTTAATGCATTGAATTTTAAAACATAATTGATCATATGAGAAACAAATTCAATGTAAAAAAAAATTCAAAATATGTATTATTAATATCTTTTAAAATTATTAAGGAATAAATACTAATGTAAAAATATATTTAAATAGAAGTAATAGTATTTTTATAGATACATCTTCTAAATATATATATATATATATATATATATATAGGTTGGTTGTAAAGAATCCATACCAATAAGCCAATGTGACGAAGTGTAAGTCTTTTGATATCCAAAGTATTAGAAAAATAAAATTAATAATGATGTATAAGTTAAAAAAAATATGGAACAAAGAGATTAGATTCTTATTAATAGAAAAGGTCATTTAACAAAAAAAATCAACTCATCAATTAATAGGAGAATTATATCTTTTTTGAAATTAGTGAAGAATATGAGAGTATTAATTTATATTCTATTTGTTGACATTGTATAATTATTTAAGCTTTGTCGATGCATTACATAGAAGTAGGCCATGGAAGAAGAATGTCAATCTCTTATGGATAATGGTAATTAAGAATTTATTCAACTTCTTTCAAATTAAGCAAATACTAGTTGTAAATAGACATTTTACTTTAAAATAGATGTATTAGATGTAACATTGTTTATATAGCAAATTTTTTTGCTAAATATAACTGAATTTAGAAAATTATAATCAAATAACAATATGATTTTCTATATATATATGTAATATTTTTGGTTGAAAATTTTAAAAATGGTATTCTTACTATTATATTACCAAAAATCATTGCAGATAACAAAGGTAGACATAGAATTGGATTTAAAACCTTATAGCAACTTGTAAAGTAGTAGTGTTAAATTAAATATGTGTGAATAGTAAGTATTAACTTAATTACTAAATTATTTCCTTTTTATTATATTAGAATAAAAATATTTAAATAATAAAAAATATTAAAAAAATCAGGTCAACTGGCAATTAAAATTTGTAAAAAGAATTAGATTGGTGACTCTTTGAACTTAAAAAGATTAACTTAAAAGTATCCAATAGTGATGGTATTTTCAATAGATGAAATTTATCTATGTAAATATTGTATAGTCAATATTATCTTTAATAGCGGTATTTTATCAATACCATCATGTATTATTTACCCATAAGTAAAGGATATTGGAAGTAGGATTTTATTATACTCTAATTTTTTTTTATGTGTATTTGTTGATTTTCTTATATATATATATATATATATATATATATATATTTTAATAAATTAGATTGCAAAAAATAATTTTACTTGCTAAGAATTACGTATAAATATAATCTTGTCTGTATGTTTAACAATGCAATTATTTTAAAGAGTATTTAGACACTTATAGTATATCAGATGATATTCAATGATATTGAGACTGTAGTAGAGAAATAAAGTTACCATATGTAAAATGTGAACAAATATTATTATTAAAGAATTAAATTAAAATAAATCAAAAAATAACATTAACAAAAATTTAAATAATTATTATTAAACTTTTTTTATCTATTTTTCACAAATTATAAATAAAATATGGAATAGTAAAAAAAATATGGTCGTAAATTCATAATTACTTCTAAAAACATTATATATTCATTTTATCAATATTTTTCAGTGTATATTCTATGAATTATTCTTTGTTACATAAAAAAAGTATATAATATATGAATATCAAATATTGTTATTGAAAATTTTGAGTTGAGTTTACATATATAAAACATGTATGTAATTACATAAAAAGAGTCATTTTCATATATAGATAAAAATAGGTTTATCAAAAATTTGAAAATACAGTTTCAAATTATAATATATATGAAGATTTGTATTTTAGATTGAAAAAATTACACAAGATTTATAAAGTTGGAAGAATGAATGAGAGAGATGAAAGTAAAATAAGAAAAGATAGTGGAATAGAATTAAAGAGAATTTTGCCAAAGTAAAAGAAATACATCATTATTTCATATTATTAATATTGATTCCAAGATTTTTTATATTTTATATTTTAATGCATCTTTATTTTTCATTTTCATTAACTCTGTGTATGTTCAATCAAGTTTCTTGTTGCATAGTATAATGGTCTTGTTGGTACTTCAGATACAACTTCAATCACTAAAAACATCACCAAAATTTGATACTCAAAACATTTTCCTCTCCTATAATTGGGAAAATGTTTCATATTATCCACACATCATAATTGAATTCTAATTGAAAGAAAATTTAAATTCATTGTTAATCAACTATTTTTCTGTAGCCATTCCAGGTAATAGAAACTAGATCCACAGATTCTTAATTAGTGATTTTAAAGAATTTTCAGCTACACAATTTTTATTGTTGACGAAGCATACAATTTTTTAATACAATAAAGTGAATAAACCACTGATATTTGGAATAAAAAGGAAGTTACAACTGCAAAATTTTATTTTTATTTGATGAATCAAGACAAGAGTGTGTTGTTGATTTTGTTATTCTTATTGGATATTGAACAAACTTGGGTTAAAAGATGTTTGAGGAAGTTGTAGACTTGAATTGATTCAAATTGATTTTACTTACAAAGACATTTATCAATTTGGTTTTCCATTATTCTTTTCAATTGATAAGCATTTTTTTTTTATTCAATTTGTCTTACTATACATTTTATTTGATCACAAAGTGCAGTTTCTTTATTTTAATCAGATTTTACTAGAAGTTACATTTTAAAATAATATTATGTAATATTATTGATATTAAAAATTTGAATAATATTTAAAATATATAAATGAGCTTAATTGCATGATGGATATGAAAACTTTGGCACCACTTCTATAAATTCTTAAAATTTTAATTTGATTTAAATTATTTAAATTTAAATTTAGTAACTATGTATGTTGTTTCTTTTTTTTGCTCAAACAATAATCTCTAAAAAAAGATTACACCTCGTTCCGATTGTAAATGCCACAAGTTAAAATCACAAATTGACAAATTCCGTATGAATTGATTAGATGAAAAAGATCAAATTTCAATCTTTTGTGGTTTGCAAGATCAAACTTGTAGAGGTATTTCAAATTAAGATACAATTGTAATGACACAATTATGAAAATAATATTATCATTGTAGGAGGTAATAATAATTTGGTGGGATTATTATTAATAATACAAGATTTAAAAAATCCATAAAATTTGAGATTTTAAGTAGTGTTCCTTAAATTAAATTTTGGTTTCAATTCATTCGATAGAATGTTTGTGACTACAAAAATGTAGCAATTTTGAGTTGATTAAAATTTTTCAGAGTAAAAAAAAAAAATAGAATCAAATTTTTTAAAGATTTTGCGACTAAACCAGGTAAAAGTAATAAATTTGCTATTTATATGAAGCTATATATTTGTTAATATTCATTGCAGCTTTTGAAATATATGTAAATGTCTTGGTGTATGGTGAGCCACTAGTGATGTATGTTTAAGATTTTTTGTAAAATGATGCTACATGAACACCTATTTATAATTGAAAATATATATATATATATATATATATATTTGTGAGAATTTCTCCAATAGTTTGTTTTGCATACTGCGAGATTCCACAGAATCGGTTGTCCCGGACCTTGACATGCACGGAGGACGGCTCGCGGGGCATTTTACGCGCAGAATGGTCGTGGGGGGTTGCCGGGGTGACAGTTTCGTTCGCCGTTCTGCCTCAGTCTCTATTGCACTTGCATGGCTTCTATTTCTTCGTCTTCTTCATCTTCGTCATCGTCTTTATAATGTCAGCGTCTGATTCTTTTTCTGCTCAATTGTGCTCTTTGTCACCGTCATGCTTCTCTCGCTTCAATGTGCCCGAACACACCTGTTTGGCCTTTCTAATAGCGAGAGCGTGCTTCTGGCTTTTTGTATAGGAGATTTTTGTTGTCACTGTTGTTTTTGCGGTTGTTCCACTTAGAGCGCAGTAAATTGTTATTATTTTATTTTTCGTTGTTTATTTAATTGTTTATTTATTATTCTTTGTTCACTTTCTGCTCTCTCCCCTGGCTGTTTATTTACTTATCTTTAATTGAGCTGACTGAGTGAAGTTCTGTGATAACGAGAAAGAGTCGAAGGAGAATTGTGCACAACCAACGGTGCCATCGGCTGTACGTAGTTCGTTTCAGAACGTTGTCAGTAGCGCTAGTTTTTGTTCTGCATTTGTTGGAATGGACGAAGAAAACCAAACAAACAAAACTCTCTTCCTTTTTTGGTTGGCAGGACTCTTGCTGTACTAGTTGATTTTCCGCATCGTTCTTCATGGAGTTTTCGGGACAGCGACCTTGTTGTGTACTTAAGTTGGGAGTGGACCTTTTCACTTCCGTATTACATGGACGACACTTTCTTCCTTTGGCTTATCATCTGTTCCTTTCTGTCTTGTTGCTACATTTTTTAAACGTCTTTGTATTAGTTCCTCCCGCTGATTGCAGTGAAGTGACATTTTTTGAGGTATGTGCTACACTTGACTGCATTTCCTCGAAGGATACGCAGAGGTCCAGCGATAAAACCTTTCTTGCGTTTTTTGTTGTCAAAGGACATGTCTAATTGTGAGGGACCTTGGAAGACTCTCCTCCATCAGTTGTCGTATTTCAAATTTTATATATCATTATCTATGGTATCTCCGCTTTTTAGGATCCTCGGAGTCCGATAAAATTCAGCTGTGAGTATGTCTCGTCCAGTGTGTCATATACATGAGTCATTTTGTCAGCGTTCGACCCACTTGAATGTTTGGTTTGTCTGCTCCTATTTGCTGACTATGCTCCTTGTATTCATTTCACTTCCCTCAGACTATTTTTTTGCTCATCTTTAGGATGATAATGCGAAGGTATTTGAGGTGATTGAGTTTGTGATATAACACCTGCGCAGATGAAAGTATCGTTGGTTGTAAAGATATATTAGATGGCAACTTCTATGGGGACGTTGACAATTAATTGTGGCACATCCTTTACACTTTCTAATTCTGATTCACTACGCTTGGTCTTGACACCGGAGGCTGTACACATTCGCTCTTCTCCATGTAATCCACATAAACATCCACATCTTCTGACTTTGACACATGAACGCGTATCAAACAGTGAAGAACCTGAGCATAATGATGCGGCTATGGAGGCTTTAGTTGACATCAACAGTCAGGGCACAGGGAATCTGGATGACTGTGATGTGTCATTTGATGGTGACGAATCTGATGGTAATGACATAATTGAGGACGGCAGAGCCGAAGTATTCGAATACGAGTGCTGTCAATGGGGAAGATTCACAGAATGGTTTTCAGGACAAGAGGAGAAGCAAAAGGGTCGAGTCTTGGGCACGGGCGAGATTTGATGCGTGGAGAGCTTTGCACAAGAGACCCACTGCAGAGGCTATCGAAGATTTATGTGATCATGATAGGAAGGAGTTGGAAGAGCTGGTGGAATTGTTCCTTACTCAAGTGTGTAAACAGAATGGCAAGGAGTATCCTCATCAGACGTGAGTAGTCTTTCTACCCCTACATTTCTTCTGCAAGGTTCACACATTGTGCTCGGATTGCTCGATGAACCATGGAATTTGTTCGAACTTTGTGTTCAGATGGTGGCACAAATATGTAATTAAACGAATAAGTTGCGTGAAAGAAATGCTCTTTTCAAACGTTCTCACTTGTATGATGTCACTCCTGTTTGACAGCATTGGAAGTCTTCTAAGGGCTTTGGGACGAGTTACTCGTGCTCATCAAGAAGCTCGTATTGCTGAGACGCAAGTGCCCGAGGCACCGTTAAATATTATGTCAGATGTTAGGTTTAAGAAAGCCGGACAAGCTGTGAGCGATAATGTAGCTTCAGCTGGTAGGCTTGGTTTGGGGAAGAGACGCAAGTGCATTTCTATCTTGACCTTGCTTGATGAAGCGGCCATGCTTGCTCTTTCCACTTACAAGTGTACTAGTGCAAAAGGCTGCTCTATGCGGTTTGCGTATTTCTGCACCCAGAAGTTTTTCATCCGTGGCACAGCAGAGCTTCACGAACTTACAGACATGGACTTTACACTCGGAAAGGATCAACATGGCGAGTTCTTACGGCATGATTTTCACAGTATATTATTTTCATGTTTTATTAGCCTGCACTTCTTTAAAGACATGACAACCATAAATTGTGGACCCATACTTTGGTTACGAGAACATGTTAATGCATGAAAGAATGTGGGAAATTAATTTTTGGGCAGTAGTGCCAAACTATTGGATTATCCGTTCTATTATCTGTTTAGCACGTCATTTTTGGTGTTGCAGCTTAACCAGTCATTTTTTTTTTTTTTCACCACTATATATTGTGTTACCACGTTAACTCTTTGATATAGTTTCTAAATATCTGGTTACATCCCTGGCTATGGCTGAGTAATGTACGCGCTCTGCACTTTCACTCCCCTTGTCTTGTACTTTGGTGGTGGGAATAATCTCTGACTGTTTCCTTTTGAGCAGCTATGAGAAGCGGCTCAAAAGTTGGAGTTCTGATTGTCCGCTAAGTCATCCTGAGAAATTCTCTCTTCCCATGACATGCTATATTGAAGATGTTTCGACACATAAAATCATGATACAGCATAAACCAAAATGGGCTGAATATGAACCCCCTCCACGGCCAATTATCCTCACCGATGTAAAGAATCCAACTTCAAGAGCCGTGATGAGCTGGAGGTTTCACGTTTCCGTTTTGTTCATTAGATTTTGCGTAAAAAACATAAGATGTACAGTTAATGTATTTATTGGGTGTCAAAGGGATATGTGTGTACTTTTCACAACACCAACTGACCCAGTAGTAATCTGTTCTTGACCAGTGTTGAGTCAACATGTGAATTTAAAGTACTCGTTCTCTTAGCTTGTCATTGGCTGTTTGAAAATGCGTTTGCAGTGGTATACGCGGTCAACTGTGGGCGTTAGAACATTAGCGAGTTGGTTTAGGATGATGACGTGAACAAAACCGTGCTGTAGTTGAAGAATTAGAAAAAAACGAAAGAGAGACGTGTTCACCTTGAGCGGAGGTTGCATAGCAAGGAGTTCGAAGGCGCTGGGGATCCAGACCGCCCTCCTCCACCTTATTCTGATATTGTCTTGGAAACATCAGATGGTTGGAAGGCCTACAAACACGAAGCTGTCGTGGTAAGTCGAATTTTTACACATCATTGCTTGTATTGCATTGGAAGGAACAGTCTTATAGTGTATCATTGTCTACTCCTTTAGCATGGATTATGAAGAGTGCGATTCCCTTCGAGAGGATGATTGCAGCTTGACATTCATGACAATTGAGATGTTATTCATATGAAGTTTTAACAGGCCAGTCAGTCAGAGGACTTCAAGGCCATGTTCAGCATGCCCATGGTAGAAGAGTACCCGCTTCACATGGAAACGAGTCACACAGCACTGGACACTATTATTTTCTTCTTTTACAGAGCCACTGTCAATCAAGGTGTTCTCAGGAACCACCTAGTCGAGCTTCTGCAAGCAGCAGATAAGTATGGTGTTGAATCACTTAATTCGATTTGCGAACAATAAGTTCTGCAGTCGCTTAGTCCTACCAAAGTTCTAGTTACCTTTGTTATTTGCTGGAGACACAACTCTGATGTTGTGAAAGAGAGTAATTAACTATGCGACCAAGGAATTGGATGATGTATCCGCTCTTGAAGGGTACGACACATTCTCCAAAAATGTCCAAATGCAGTTATGGAGCTTTATGATGGGGTATTGAAACGGTTAAAGCGTAAACGTCCTCGCCAAGATACCTTGTCAACAGTTCAAGGTCAGTCATGTTTGTTGATGTCAATATTTGACAATGAGTTTTGAGTACGTCCAGATTATGCTTGCATGCGTGTTACAAAAATACTTTGTCTATGCTTCTCTGTTCGATGTCAATTGGTGTATTTTGATTGTCTGATCTACATGTTAGGATGGTTTCAAGCCATAATCTAATCAAACTGCAGTTTTAGACTCTCTGTCCTGATTGCAGTAGTCTGAATTGAAAATGCTCTAGGTTCTCTAGTTTATTCTTTTGACAATACTAGCAGAAGATTTGTTATCGAGTAATTATTGTGGTGCCCTTTGGTATGCAAGGGAACTTGTCTATCCAGTTACTAGATCCAAAGCTGCATGTTTGTGCTAATGCACGTATAACAAAAGAAATTAGGTCTTCTGTCTCTATTGTTGAGGATGTTAGTAAAGAAATCGTGGACGATGTTTTCCTCGAACGGTTCTCCTCAATGTTACCTGATATCACTGTGGCTTTTGTAAGCAAGGCTGAGTACTTTGGTCCTTTATATTTATGTTTGAAGAGATCTATGATAAGGACAGTTCATTTTTATTATAAGGTTTAAATGAAGTCGCTTCAAGTGGTGGTTTGTACGTATTATTGTGTCTTCCACGACGTTTTTAGCAATTCTTTTCATGAGCACGTACAGGCTAGCATGGACGTTCACTATGTGATCATAATCTATGTTTGATCACGACTAACTTTGATTTCATCATATTACTTTCCTTACGTTTGATCTCTTTCTGTGTCTCATCCTTTTGCGATTGTTCCCGCGCACTGTAGTCCCTTCGTTGTTTGCAATCTGTGAGGGAGAGAGATTGGGCGCTTCTGGTTCATTTCTTTGATTTAGGTCTCACATGAGTCGTGATTCTAGGAGATTATGAATCGTACAATTCGGGAAGTTTCTGAAGACCTTGTGGGTATTGAGTCCAGCGTTACAATAGTTTTAGCTAGATTTGGACTCTGTCATACTGGAATATTTGATACTTTGCTGTTCACCTGGTCTCTTTCATGGGTTCCACACTGAATCATTTTCTCATTCAGATCGTGCACATTATTCTGTCAACCGCGAGGTCAGGACTTTGATAATGTAGACATTGATCCAAATAGCATTATCGTATGTACTTTCCAAATGACTAGTCTAGAAATTATGTAACATTTTGTGGCTGTCGATGTGCTGTATATTCATGCTCAGAATACTCTTGTCGATTTCTTTCTTTATAGTAAGCATCTAGTGCCATGTGCAGCATGCAACTGGACAGAACAGAGCTGAACAGGATTATTTTAAATGGTCACAAATGAAGAGTGGCGGAGCTAACAGGAGCGACTGCAAGCAGGAACATGAATAAAGCTTCCTACATTATTCTCCTGTCACCAAATATCATCGGGTTTTGTTTGTTACGGTGTTGATCAGGGTTGTATAGTAATGCTACAGTAATGCTATAGAAATTAATCAAATTTAAATAGGGTACTCCAATTAGCTGGGTTTGTCATGGTGTGTTTCAGTGCTTGCCAGATTTCTATTACTTGCCACTGCCACTAATGAAGTACTGTGCATGCAAGTTTTAGTTGCATTTGAGCTCTTCTGTGCGACTTCGTACCGAATGCATTACATTCAGAACTTTGGACCAAATCTGGACATTGCCCATGTCAAGATACGAAGACTAGGGACGAACTCAGAGCTTCTTTAAGACGGAAGTGAAGTTTGTGTCAGAAATCGCCTTTACTGCATCTCGTGGTATTCTAGAAAGGTTATGTGCATACTTATTCAAATATTTTACATGATTTTAGGGTGATTTTTAAGCTTTGCCTGTAGCTTCTTGACGATACCATTGCCGAGCTTAGCAACCAGTGTTGGGTCATCCTTGAGGAAATCGTCGTAGCCATTTATTTCTGCGATGTCACTGTAATTGTTCGCAACAAAACTTATGATTGCATGTACAAGCTGCTCAGCATGGCATTTGCTGCCAAGGAGAAAGTATTGGAAAATGCGCTCAGGGTGGATGTTCGTCATCATCTTCTCTTGGCAAAGATTGTGGAGTAATGAGATGCCGTAAGTGTCAGAGGCGCGAAGCAATTTGTCAGCAAATGAATCCATGAGGTCATCTTTGACAAACCCAGTGTAGAAGAAATGGATAAATGCCTCCAAGCTTGCATGGTCCATGTCCATTTTCACTGTCTGTGGGTTGACAACGTCCCGCGTGGCTGAGAACAATGTCTTGAACGCAGTTGATTTGCCCATCTGCAATGATGTTCTTTAAGTCATCCATACGTTTCTAGAGGCTGGCCAATGTTATAGTAGTAGATCAGTGATTCTCAGCGAAGAAGGTTTCCAACCTCTCTCACTTGCTGGAAGCTTGTCAGAAGGGTGAAGTGTCGAGGATTTCCGGTCAGTCGTCTCAGAACGATGTGACGAACTAGAAAAGGTGTGGGGACATTAGAGGTAGGTATTGAATAGCGCAATGAGTGGTGTTTGTGGTTGGTGCTTACCAGGGTGGATTTGTGTGCGTGGACTAGCCTTCCGTCATTTGCCTCCAAAATGACGTCTGTGTGCGGAGGTAGCATGGTTTCTGGATCCCACGTGGTGATGAAATTCTGCTTCTCCATTATCTTTTGCAACTGACTTTGCACGTCGTTTAATTCGATACTAGTGCACAGGCTAGGTAGGAACTTCACCATTTGAGATCATCAGTATTTTACCAAGTTCTAAGTACCTGCTGGTCAGGATTGTTATGTTAGTAGAGAAACAATAGTTTCAACAGAAATAGCTTACCTGCTGCGTATCAACTACATCTCACTCTGATGAGAGCTTATTCTAGCCAGTTTTCAAACGATTCATTGTTAACAGTCCATTGGTGTTCTATTCATAGAGTTTAAGAATTGTTAATGCTTCAAAGAGCTACGAATAATTAGGCCCGAGTATATGCTTGATAGCCTCGGCAGTGTATGCCATCGCAAGCCGTCTACTATCGCTATCCATCATGATCTAAATGCAATTCTGACACAGTCAAGTTTTCCTTAAAAGTATTCAGTTACGTGTGAGCTGTGCTGAACAGAATTATCTTGCACGTGCATGGGCTGCAGGAGATACGGATGGCTTGGAGAGGATCGGGAAGCACTTACGAGTGTTACGGGAGGAGCCGAATGCGAACTCGGATTTCTGAGGGTTTCGGGAGGGTGGAATGATTCAACCGGTATGAGAGTCGTAAGAGAATGAGATGCATGTCAACGGGCGTGAGCAATGTTTTCGGTTGCGTCTGTTGGTATGTCAAAGGTCACCAATGGCGCTTATCGGTAAGTACTCTAATCAAAACGAGGTTTTCAGGTTATGGTTTTGCAGGAAATACGAAGCTATTCAGGTTAGGATTTGGTCAGTTCTAAGGTTCTAGGAATGTGATGTGACGAGGGGGTTGCTCAGAGCATTTGTTGAGTGTTAACCGCGGCTTTACAATACCTCTTTCAGCAGCTCTATGAACCCACGCGTAACTTGTTTCAGGTTGTTTAATCTTTGCAAAAGTTCGTGCTGACAGTCTGGTTCCAGGACAGACAAAATATCGAGCAGTGCTTAAGCTTTTGCGTCCACACAGTAAGGCATCTGTTTCCCAATATCTGTGCAGGTTCGGCCGCAGCAGAATCCCGATAAAACTGTTGGGGTGTACGAGGGTGGCAGAAAGTTCCAGGTTTGAGAAAAATGTTTTTGGTGCAGTGCTGTAGATCAGCGAGACTGGCAAACTTAAAGAAAGTTTTGTTCTTCGCCTTAGCTTGGAGTGACCTCTTTTTTCTCCTCTTTCTGGTTACCTTAAAATCACTGGACGACGCCATCCAGGACCTCATGGACCTGAAACGCCGATTTAATCCATTATTTCTTTTTCTTTAAACATTGGTGTACCTTGACAGTAAAAATCGACGAAGGGCTGGCCGGTGGGTACGAGTGAAAGAAGTAAACAGCTCTGATCCACATGGATCAACTTGCAAACAACAGTTTCTACCATGCAAATTCAGAAAGGTGAAGATAATGCGTTGAAAACTTTTTGTATCACATTACAATTGATATTTTATATAATGTGATGTGCCCAAATCACTCATGAAGCGGACTGATCGCCCAGGCTGATGAGGACACTGCTAAATTCTTGACGTTGGTCTAACGCTATAATTCCATGAGGCTGCTTTAGTTGAACCCAGAGACCTCTTGAGGAAAGTTTGCTTCGAAATTTCAATCATGTCAATATCAACTAGGTGCCACTTAGATAATCGTTGCCATTAGACATAAGCAGTTAGTAGCAGAACCAACGGAGAGAAAGGACAATTGTTCTAGAGGTTAACGTGCTCTTTCCCATTTTGATGCTTGTTAGATCTTCGTTTCGGCTGTTTGCATTACTTCTAACTTATGGATGCTGAGTTGGTACAACAGAAGCGTAAATACTTTAGTATGAAGTTTGAATCGATCCAGTCAGCAAAATCCTATTAGCCCAGGTAGGATTTCAGGATGAGCCACATAAATTTAGAAAAAGAGTATCACATGAACGAGTTCATTTGCTTACAGACAACCAAGAATAATGCAATTCGAAATAAAGCCCCATTTCCCAAGTTGGCACCAGGATACCAAGACAAGTTGCTTTGTCTTGGTACCCTGGTACTTTATTTTATTTTTATTTGTACTGTGAACATATAAAAAAACCATTTCCCAAGTTGGTACCAAGTACCGAGACAAGAAAAAGGTATGTATTTTACTGTGAACATATAGAAAATCAAAATGGGTTATACTGATTTTAAAGGTAACAAATCATGCTGCAGTTTAAAAAAGTATCCCCCAGTGCAAATCTTATTTGAATAGGTAAAATGTTAGTTTTATAAAAATAAAAATAAAAAGTTAATAAAACCGAATACATTACTTTTTATAAGTATGTTTTTTGAATTAAGAATTCAAAATCAATTTTTTTGAATGTTGAAATAAAATAAAATAAAAATAAGGAGGCAAGATAGATTCTTTGAGCTTTGATAAATTCCACTTCTAACTACTAATTACTTGAAGTAGTTTTGTTCCTTGTCACCGTCTATAATCTGGTTTCAGGGACTCTCCTTAAAGTAGAATTTAACTTGTTCGAATACGATAAATAACTTGATTTCCTAAAAATTTCTCGAGAAGAAAAGAAAACCATTAGTTAGCTGACTTTTTAGTAGATGACATGTGACCCCCCCCCCCTCTCTAATTTATTGCACTTATATTATCATAATAAAACCAACGTCCTTGTTTGCTAATTATTGTCCTTGGGCACATGATCAGTACAATTGATACATGTATTACAGTTACTTGTAAAAAACAACTACAGAAGCATCTCTACAAGTTAAACAAAAACATACATTTAAAAACACAATTCCCTGTTGAAGCATTACGCAAACAAGACTTTCCATCACTCCGGACACGTGTACAAGAAACTTTACAAAAATAAATTGGACCAAAATGCACTCAAAGTATTGTTACAAATGGGATGCTTGGTACAATCTTTTTGCTGCATGCCATGAGCTGAAACTAGAATAGAAAGCGAGGAAATAAAGGAGGAGGACAAAGGGAGCCATGAAGTAAATAATACTCTCACACTAACAAAATCCTTGTGAATGCAGTAGCAGTACAATGCACTTGTTCACCACAATGCGCAATGAATTGTTGCGGCGAGTGGAGGTCACCGCAATATGAAATCACGAGCTCGGGGAGTGATTTTGCAGCTTGACCAGCTCGAAGTAAGCGCCGCGCTTGGCCAGGAGCTCATGGTGCCAACCTTGCTCGCAGATGGTGCCCTCGGAGATGACTGCGATGGAGTGGGCGTTCTGGATGGTGGACAAGCGATGCGCCACCACGATGGTGCTTCGCCCCACCATGATGCGGTCCAGCGCGTCTTGCACCACTTTCTCCGACTGCGAGTCCAGAGCACTGGTGGCTTCATCCAGCAGCAGAATTGCTGGGTTCTTCAGAATGGCTCTGGCGATGGCAATGCGCTGCTTCTGCCCTCCTGACAATTGCAGGCCCCTCTCGCCTGTGTTCGTGTCGTACCCATTCGACAACCCGCTGATGAACGAGTGCGCGTTGGCGGATTTGGCTGCTTCTATCACTTCGGCTTCCGTTGCGTCTTCCTTCCCATACAGGATGTTGTCGCGGATGGTACCAGCGAAGAGTGTGGGTTCCTGGCCCACGAGGCCAATGTACCGGCGGAGAGTTTTGAGAGGGAATGTTTTTATGTCGCGGAAGTCGATGTATACGGCGCCCTTGAGAGGGTCGTAGAAGCGCTCGATGAGGCTTATGATGGTGGATTTCCCTGATCCCGACTGCCCCACCAGAGCGATGCTGTGGCCTGCTTGGACCTTCAGGGAGAAGCCTCGGAAGACCTTCACGTCAGGGCGCATAGGGTATGCGAAGTGCACGTCTTTGAGCTCAATATGGCCCTCCACTTTCTCAAGGCTCCCTTCCTGAGCCAAGATGCGGCTTTTCCGGTCCAGGATGCCGAAGATGGTAGCGGCAGATTGTGAGCCCTTGGCCAAATCCGAGGTTGCACTTCCGGCTTCGGCGATCATGCGCCCTGTGCTGATGAGGACGAACAACACCTTGAACATGCCGGCGAAACTCAACTTGTGTTGGTTGATCAAGCGCGCGCCAAACCAGAAGAAGAAGGCCCATGTGGCCAGCATGGCAAACTGCGCAAGCCCCAAGCCTACACCCGCTATCAGCGCTCTGCGCAGAGCTCCCCTCTGAAGAACAGTTTGCGTTGAGCTAAAGCTCTTCAACACTACATTCTGCGATGAGAACGCCGTGATGGTTCGGTGGTTGGCGACTGCCTCACTGGCCACCTGCATGGACTGACCCTGCGATTTCAAGTTGCCTTCGCTCATCTTCTTGAGCAGCACCTTCTTGCCGTAGAAGCATAGGATGCAGATGGGTTGCGTGAGGATCATGACGAGGGCAAACAACCCCGCCGTCACGAGGCCCAAAATGCAGGCTAACAATATTGCCGCGCCTGTTTGCACCAACAATGACAACCGATCTCCCACCAAGGATCGCACCACAGTCGCGTCCGAGGCGAGCTGGGAGCACACAGCGCTGCTTGAATGTTCCTCTTCGTCAAACCACGCCACCTCGAAGGTTAGCACCTTGGTCAGCATGAGCTCTCGCACGCGCTTCGTCAACCTCTCGCCCATGCTTGCAAAATTATAATCCCGCGTGACATTCGTAAACAGGCACCCCACTCCAAGTGCCGAAAATATGAGCGAGAAATTCCGGATGCTCACACGCATCTTGTCATGGTCCGTCTCGAAGAATGTAGACACCATACTTCCCAGAGAGTACGCGTACAACGGCTGCACAAAGCCAAATCCGGCCGCCCCGATGGATCCTAAGATAGCCTGCTTCCATTCCGGCTTGTTTAGCCTCAGAAGCCTTCCAATGGATGGAGCTTTCAGCTTTTCTCCTGCTTCCTCCGACTGTGCTGCATCCGAATAGCCACGCACGCTCATCGACCGGCGCACACTCTGGTCTCGCCGAAAACTCCCTGAACTCCTCTTGCTCGATGAATTCCTGAGCTGCAAAGCAGCTGCTGGGGCATTCGAAAGGTTGTCTGAATCAATCACCTGCAGATGGTCCTTCTCAGGCTGGGAATTTTGAATGTTGACGAAGGAAGAGTACGCTCCTCCCTCGAGCATCAACAACTCCTCATGGGAGCCAGTCTCAACGACACGACCGGCGTGTACGACAGCAATTAGATCGGCATTGCGAATGGTGGACAAGCGGTGAGCCACCACGACGGTGGTTCGCCCCACAGCTGCCTGGTCTAAGGCAGTCTGGACGACACGCTCTGATTCGGAATCCAAAGCGCTGGTGGCTTCGTCCAGGAGCAGTATTGGAGGATTTTTAAGCAAAGCCCGCGCGATCGCAATTCTCTGCTTTTGACCCCCAGACATTTGCACGCCCTTCTCGCCTACCATGGTGTCGTAGCCCTTAGGCAACTGAGAAATGAAAGTATGCGCATTCGCAGCCTTGGCAGCTTCAGTGATCTCCTCCATAGAAGCGCCGTCCTTCCCAAACACGATGTTGTCTTTGATCGTCGTCGCGAACAAGCTCGGTTCCTGGCTCACGAGCCCAATTTGCAAGCGCAGCCACCGCAACTGGAGATCCTTGATCTTGATGCCATCCACCAACACACTTCCTGCCAGCGGATCATAGTATCGTTCCAGTAGCGCAATTACAGTGGATTTTCCGGACCCACTAGATCCCACCAAGGCGACCGTTTTGCCAGCAGGGATGACCAAGTTGAAATCCTCGAAGATGGTCTGTTTGGGGCGCGACGGGTACGCAAAGTTGACATTCCGCAGCTCGAGGGTGCCGGTGACCTTCTCCGGCGTCTGCCCCGACAGATCTTCCGAATCGATATCAGGCACACGATCTATCATTGTGAACATCTTGTGGGCTGCCATCTGCGCCTCTGCAATGTATCTCAAGTTGGGCAACGCTGTCCCCAAACCCCTGCGTTTCATCCATTGCGAGTGTGTCTTTGATGAGTATCCATCCCAAGTTTGTGCATTTGGCCAAGCTCTGAGCATACAAACGACGAACAACATACAAATCTAGTGGTGATGAACTTACAGCCCTCCCATCATCGCTGCGAGTCCGCAAACCAGAACGGTGCCCCCTTGCAGACCTTGGTGCATGATGAGCAGGCTGCCATACCAGGCCATGACAGCCCAGCAGATAAATGTGACACCATTGGCACCGGTGGCCAAACCCTTGGCGAGGCCCATCCTCAACCCTGTTTTCACCGTGAAGTCTAATTCTTGCGAGTACCGCGTTAGTGTCCGCTGCTCTCCCACAAACGAGTACACAGTTCTTATTGATGACAGGCTTTGTTCCGCCACGGTTGCCGCTTTCAAGGTGGCGGCGTGCATTGACCGCGCAAGTCCAGTTAAAGCGCGGCCATACAAGAGCCCTGGAATCATGAGGATAGGCAAAAAAGCGACTAGCACCATGGCCAGCCTCCATTCCAGGTAGAACGCCACCACGAAGCCGCTCACAAAACTGGCCATGTTCATCACAAAGTTGCCTATCTGCCCCATGCACAGAGAAATAATGCACGTGAGTCCTTGCATTTCAAATTGGCGTTGCAAGACTAATTTCTTTTCGCCGAAGAAGAGAACGAAGACGAAGGCGAAGAAGGGTGTCGGTACCCGACCTTTTCACCGACTGCATCTTGTACGACTAGAGTGTCAGTCCCCACGCTGTTAACGACTTCTGCAACGTTAGCACCAGAGGTGTCGAAGAATCCCACGTCCTGTCTCAAGATGGCTTTCAGATACTTGGCTCGCATTTTAGACGCCTGGCGATCGGCCGTTCTCAGCGCACAACCAGCCTCTACACAACAAATTCCTCACAAACGTTGAGGACGGTGCGTTGGGATAATTGAAACATGCTGCTTTCAGGGACTAGGGAATCAACGATAAAATTTGGCTGCTCTGAAGTAGGATTCTCTGATTTTCATGAACACTTACAGTAGGAAGAGAAATTGGGAAAGGGGACACACCCAGAAAGCTGCAAACGAATGCGCCGCATGCAATGTAAGTGAGGCCGAGAGTTCCCTGCAGTGATCCATCACCTCCAGTGTTTAGGAAGTACATTTGACAGTCAATCGGAAAGTAGAACTAGCATTCGCAGAGTGGTGACGGGAAATTTCGATATGCACTTGCCTCGATGACTTTCTTATTGAATTCATCCATAGAAACATTGGTGCTGCTGCCAAAGGTGTTAATGAGGCTGCCCACAACGGAAAGCATGATAGAAAACGAAGATCCATCGCCCACGGCTCCGATGAATGCCAACACCATGAGCAAGTAGTCGTATGCATCTGCGTACTTGAACAACAGAAAGAAGGACACCTTCGGTGCGACCTTTTTCTGGTCGACATCTGCTTTCGATTCACCGCCGGATCCTTCTGAAAGGTCCTTGGGCAAATTCTCCGGTGTCTGGAATGTCTGGTTCTGGGAACCAGCTTGACCTTTCATCGCCTCGCTGCCACCTCCTACCTTTTCCATATCTTCTGCTTCTCACGAGATTTCACTCTGAGCGCCGATGGTTCGGCTGCCCTTACCGGTGACGCTGAGAGTTGATTGCACAGCTGGCGACACTGATTGAAAATAGTTCTCATAGTTGTGTCTAGCCTAAATGCAGCCTACTATAGTTACACACTGACGAGAATTGTCGCCGTGATAGCGTCATAGCGCTGGGCACAGAGGCAGTGCGAGCAGACGGCGAGCAGTGGTCCCGCAGACAGAAACCTTCACAAACACATTACCCTGATCATGAAGAAGACCGACGCGACATGATTCCCACCCCTCTATCTCTACCGCGAGAACAATCTGCGTTCTAAGAACGTGGTCCAAGTTTGTCCAACAGTGCACCAGTTTTACAGTCCAATGCACCAATCTGAGGACCAGCGCCGACGACAGGGAAATCAAACTTAGCACCACAAACGGAATTGAGGTCAACGTGGAAAACCAAAAAAATAAGCCACACAAAACCTCGGAGGGCAAAACCTTGATACAACATCTTGAGCTGAAATGCAACAATTAGCCCTCGGGAAGCAAGCAGTATGATACTAAAGAGGGATTTTAGTGCGATTCGACCAGAGAGACGGTGAAGGCCACCACACCACCACCCAGGGAAGGAGGAGGGGAGACGGAAAAGCAGGTTTGAACATCCACAGATATAATTAGTTTCACAAGTTGCAGAAAGCTGGTTTGATCATTCAACATCGCATCCGACCATTTTTGAAGGCACTGGAGACTCATGCTATGAAGAGGGGGTTGTAGAGAGGGGAGACAGAAATACAGTTCACAAGGGTACCCACATGAAAAGGAAGAAGGTGCTTTACGAGCAGCTTCGCGACAGAGTCGAAAAGATATCCTTTTGGTGGACTTCATTGATTCGAGCTTCTCCTCTTATTTTTAACACCTTTGGAGAATGCCATCATGCTCCTGCTGTCATCAACTTTTCTGTTTCAAAGCGGCGCATCCTGAGATTCTGACACCCTTGCGAGAGCTTCTAGAACCCTCTCGAACACCCATCCCCACTGTCAGATTAATAGCCCAGCCTGACATGGAGGGTGTAGGGGGGGGGACCCTCAAAAGAAGGGCAGACACACAAGACCACACAGTTAATTAGATCCTCTCACCAAACAAATGTGGCTGCACATAACCTTCTCACACTGAACTGTGTTTGCACCAATCCATGTTTGTATATTTATTTGTGGGGGGCTTGCACTACAAACTTGCAGTCCAGTCTTGCCAGTCTTATTACACAATTGTCTTCAACTTTTGAAGTGTGTTGATTTGTCATGAAATGCTTGAGAACTGAAATGAAATGCTATGGCATTGTGCAATACTAGGTACATTCTGAATAGCAAGTATGGAGTAAGGAATTTGGATCACATGGCATGCTGTATTGATAAGGTTTGCACTCCCTTAATGTTAGGATATGTAGGGAATTTTTTTGAGGACTCAACCAAAAATTTATGGATTCTCACAATAATTATGGGTATTTTACATTAATTATAATGATGATAAAGAAATTAAAAAAGAAAAAGAAAAAAGCAAGCATTACATCTTAAACCTTTGGAGGAATGTATTCTCTTCACAACTTTTTTAAAAAAAGCCAAACAAAATATTTATTTCCACTGACATGCATGTGATTACTGATGTCTTACTTGATAATTCAAAGCATAAAATCTACAAGAGGATTGAAATTCTTGCAAAAGTATATTGTGTGGTCTTTCACAAACAGCTTTATGTTTTTTTTAAACTTCCATAGTATAAATTAGAAAGTAAATGTGACAAACCTTACAAAAAAATAAAATAAAATAAAATAAAATCACAAAAATGATAGACTAGAAAAACCAATAAATTCTTCACTAGTGGCAATTTGTGGTGACATGACTTAAAAAATGAAAAGCACAAGATCTCTAAGGCCACAAGAGCACCATGGAGGAGTCTTTGAGCAAGATGTGATGAAGTATCATTGTGTCTTCATGTGGACTTGAAGGGGCCCACACTAATTAAGGCAGATGTCAAGACAAATCATGCATGGGTCTTAATCTCATTCAGATGCTTGGTAGTCTAATTGGGCAAGAAGTGGGCCAAAAGGTTCAATATTGCAGTAATAATAAAGGTTTAGGGTTATCCAAGTTTTTAAAACATCTTAAACATAAGTAAAACTACAAACACCACCAAATATCCCCTCCTTGGTTGATTAGTATGTCATTTAATTCACTTTATTTTTTTTTATTTTTTTTCCTCCTATTTTCCAATACATTCTTTAGTTGTAACTTTAGCAAGTTTGTCCGAGGCTGAGGGAAAAGCCCTTATTTACCCAAATATACAAAATATACATTTTGACTTTGTGGCCATTTTGCCTTTGCATCACGATTAAAACAACTTTCAAATGACTTTTGTGCTTTTATATATTCTGGAACTCCCTGGTATCTCAAAACCATCTCAAATTCATTAATTATATTAGTTTATTTCAATTTTCAGGAAGTTTTAACCACAACTGTAATTTTAAATAAATTGAATTTTTTTAGGTTAATCAAGATTGGATCTGGAATTATTTTTTAAAACTAATACAATTACAAGTATTTGAAATTTCAAAAACTCTGTCAAACAACTATTCCCAAAAAGAGAAACATTAAATGTGAACTGTGTCAATATTTTTATGTGTTACATAACGAAACATGTCTCTACATGAGTTGAGTTGGAATCAATTTTTTCATCCCTCAAGTTGAGGTATGTATTACCTATCAATCTATTTTGCAAAATCAATGAAAACAAGGAATCGAATATTCACATCTAAATCGTGTTAAATACTGATACCTCTCATGGGGCATGAATCACTTGCACCCTTTTCCATGATTATTGTGCATGTTGTGCACAAATTGAATATTGCACTCTTTCAAGGACAACTTGTACATGATACCAAATAAATTCTTCAACTCTCCCTGAACTTGCTGGAGTGGATATGAGTGGGTGCAAATGGCTAAAGCAGTTCTAAATGTGGATGCATGAATAGGGATTTCCTTGTCAGCGGTCAACTCACTTAAGAGGACAAAGCTACTGTACCGAAAAAGTGACGTCATCAACGATGATATCATCAACTCTGAAATCCAATCCACTGTCTCACGTCAGTGCACACGTCTCATGTTTTGGTTAGTAGGTGCCAGGAAATGTCAGCAACAGTTTTGTATAATAATCTGTCAAACATTCTATAATCCATTGCAGATGTGTTTCAGGGGGTGGAATCCCACAGACTGATCACAGTCTGGTGTCTGATGGCTCCCCTTAGCGCAGCCTCACATGGCTACTGCAAACCCAGCTCCTCCCAATCTCATTCAGTAGAAACCCGTCCTTTCCCGCGGCCACTCTATCTTAAGCACTCCGTAACTCCCAGTAAATTTCATGAGCTCCTAAATATTAAAATACTAAAAGTTCATGAAACTCGTCTTGAAAACAAAACTGCCAAAGCGTGATACAATCCGGTTCTCCAACCCAACTGACATGTATTTATGATCGTTTCAGGGACGCGCCAGTTCATGTGCATATGCCAAACAATGATTTGTGGACAGAATCTGGACAATCACGATGAACTTTTAACTAGTGCAAATTTAGTCCGACATATTTGTAGAGAAAGATGAGTGGCAAAGACTGCCGTGATGAGAATCTCATTGCACCCAAACTGCCCCATTGATTAGGGCAAAGGAGAGAAATCATTAGTATCTCATTTCATTCATATGTCATGAAATAGGCACGTGTCAAAAGTCGGGAGTAAGATCTCGATGCAACAGAATCCTGTAACAGGGTCGTCCTCCAACAACTGCGACAGCCACTACGAATTTGTATCCCTACTCTTAACTGGAAATCTACCTCTCAGATGTAGACTAGACCTGAGCAATGCTTGCTGCCAAGAATCATTATCCAAGCTCGTACAGAATCTACTTCAAAAGAGACTCAATGGCTTCGAAGAATAATGGGGCCATCTCTGGGGTTGGGGTCTTCACTGCACACTTGACACTTGGGTAGCCTACTTTGCAGGTGAGCTCAACAAGAAACGCAATGCTCGGTGGCACTTTGCCAGACAGATAAAGAACCTGCAAAAACACAACCATTGATAAGTCAACGCAACACTAACCAATTTGCTGAACACCAGGTTCATGATAACATCTGTAGGATTTCATAAGCGTGTATTACATTACTGTGATCCAACCAAATGAAATGCCCTGCACTTCAATAGGCGCAAACCTATAAACACAGAACCAAGTAGCTTACCTCTTGGTTAGTGTCCTTCAGCACTCGTCGAGCAATGTAGAATAGGTTGGTAGTGGCAAGCTTCTCCAGAGTAGCATCCACATTCGTAATCACCGCATTGGGAAGGTCCTTGGCAACCTCGTGTGAATCAGGTAAAGACTTCCAGGTCTGGTATATAACAAGTACTATAATATCAGAAATACAAGTATCGGAAAGTATAGAGAACAAGCCCTAGCACTTGCAATCATTCAAAACCTGACACCACAGGTGTCGAGCGAGAACAGTACCTCCAAAAAGGTTCCTCTCTCCATGCGACCATCTTCGACAAAAAGTGTTTGCAACGGAATTTTGTCGCTAAAGTACCATACAGGCTGTTGGCTGTTCTTGACTGCTACTTGAAGCACGGAATTGGGAGGACCCTCGGAGACATTTTGGAAAAGAACCATAGGCAGCAATGTGCTTGCTGAGCCCGAAGGTTGGATAAGAGGCACCTACGCAACATTGTGGGAAAATAAAGAAGTTAATTTCTGACGAGGAATAAACTGCTTGTGTCAACCAAGGGAGCCAACATGGTAAGCATGCATCATTAAAGCATAAATCAGTAGGTGCACCTGAAGAGGTCCTCCCGCAGCAAGACCAAATGTATTCTTGTTGAATTGGATCATAAATTTATCTAGGGGAGTTTGAGTATGGTTTTCAAATTTGAGATTGTAGTAGATTTTTCCTTCACGCCTGGTCAATTGTCCGGAGATTTGCAAACCCTGACCAGTTGTTGCCGGAAGTAGGATAGGTAAAGGAGGGCTGCAACACAAGCCATAAATAGCTAATACTTTACAAAATCCGTTGGCTAATGGAAACCAAGGTATGAAATCTGTTAGTACTTGAGAGGCACTTCTAAAGAAAGTACGACTTAATTCGTTATAGAAGTTATCAACAGAGACTAAGTTTCACAACTGTAACAACAAAATGAAGTTCAATGTGTAATAGACTGTAGCCCGAAGTGAACAAGCGCGCATAAACTAGAACTTCGAAATAAAACAAAGGCCTACTGCATATTTGTTGCTTACTCTGACGAAGCTGCCGCAGTAGCAGATCCAACTGGTACCAAGGCCGACTCGAATCCCATGAGATCCCCCAATAAATCAGGTACAGGAGCTGGAACAGAAGTTGCTTCAACTGCAGCAGCGGCAGAAGTAGGAGGCACTACTGCACTTGGTGTGGCCATATCAGGAACTGGAGCTGATGAATTTCCAGCCCCAGAATCCTGGCCCTCGGCATACTCATCATCCTCCTCTCTTGTAGCAACCGCTCGTGCACGACTTACAAATGCGTCAGGACGCTTGTGATATACAGATGCAAGTGTAGCAATATTAGCCAGCAGATCATCCAGAAGAGATGGATCCAAGTTATTGGAGTCATCACTAATTGTAGGCTTCTCGGCCAAAACAACATCTTTTGCAGCCTGCAAGAAAAACCCAATCGCTTGTCTTCATCTTATCTTCTAAAACCCGTTGCTTTAAACATTAGTTACCAGTAGGGATCAGAATTACCAAGATCAGTCGCTTGTTTCTATCAGTTATACAACTCTTACGAAGACAACGCAATACTCGAGTCCATGCAAACCATCAACAATACATAAAAGAATGAATCAATGTCTGCATGTGTCAGTCAAGGCGAACCGCAACTAGTACGAAAATCCAGACTAGCGTTTCATCAACACAAGTCCTATAAAAGAGAACAGAGCAAGACTGAAGTTCACGCACCTCAGGGTCCGTGGAAAGTAGACGCCAATATACATATGCGCGATCCCGCAAGTCTGGATTATCGGTTTCTTGTGTAGCATTGTTCAGCACAACCTATCCAGAAGAACGTAATTCAGCACAATGATCAATTGGCGCCAGAAGTCCATCTTAGAAACTTCCAACGCCCTTTACGTACAGAAAAGCTGGATTCAGATGCCGAACCTGACAACGATTTTCCAATATGAGGAGCACATCCTGGCCACTATGTACATCTAGCTCAAGGAAAATACCTGTATCATCTGTTGAGGACCCTCAGTAGGCTTCTTCAAAAATAGCTTTACAGCAGCAGTAAGAAGCTGCAACTGCACTTGAGCTGGCTCTTCGGGAAATGTTTCTAAGAAACTTTCAAGCAGCTCATCCGCATTATCAATACGTTCAGCATACTCACCTATGATCCAAATCATAGAGGCCTGCATAGGAAGACAAAATAAAAATAAAAATAAAAATAAAACTAGGTTACTACAAGAAAGATCCTTAGTTGCATACAAACGATTCATCCTAGTGTCCAAGAAACAGCAGCACGTAGGTAATAAAGGAAGTAATTCTCACAAATAAAGACAGAATAGACATCAAGCGTTAATAAACGCAGATGTCCTAAGCTTTTCAGAGTACCTTTGCTTCAGGTTCATCAAGAGTATCCAAATTTTCACAAAGTGTAGCAATGATGGACTCATACCTGTTCAAGTTGCAAGTGACCACATTTTAACCCCAAGAAATGCAGAAAACTATCTGACTACACGCAAATACTGATAGGAAACTGTCTGAACATGCAACACATATCCAGCTGCATGCACTCTTACATGTTGGGATATCTTCGGAAAATATCCTTAATTACTACAATTGCTTCTTGCACAACATAGTTAACTTTGATTTTGATCAGATCCAAGAGAACATTGATGCAGCGTTCAGCTGCTCGATCCAGTTTAATTGCACATCGTCCTATAGCTCGAACTGCTTTCCTCACAAAATCAACATCAACTTCTGTGGCATACTCCTTGAACTCCAATAGAACCTGGACGAAGAAGCAAACCAGTCGACTCATTAAGCAGTGTCTTCACACAGAGATCACTCTGTTTTCTTATCCATGTTGAAACAACTTCTATAGTTTAAAACATCAGCATCTGACTTCTCCCGCTTAGACACCACACTCACAACGAGATCACTGAATTAGGTCAATAAATCTTAGTCTCAAAAAGCTTCAAAACAATTAAGACGAGATGCACAATAATACCTGGTCAATATTACGGTCTGAGGCAAGTTTGATCATAATCTCCAGCTTCTCCATCTTTACGTAAATAGGATCATTGTACTTACAGAAAAATACCTGTGGGAATAAGATATAGGCATTTGATTGAACAGTTTAATCCAAAGTGTCATTGTAAGGAATGGGCTTCAACTAATGTTGTCTGAACTGCATACTGATATGAACAACCTCCACTTTTAGAAAATGTGATACACAATCAGATTCGACAAAAAATCTATGGTTCGTCAATACGTCAAAATCATGTGAGCTATTGTTTCGGCTATCTTCTCTGAGCATTTAGCTCTTGTACAAAGCATCAACGACGAGGCTGTTGCATTAGACCTTGATCTCATGTGCAAGAATGTTTGGGCGTCGTTGGACAATGAGATTAATATTACGAAGTGCCACATACTGGATCTCAGACTCTGCTGATAAAAGTGTCACCAAAGGTGGTGCCATCTTTTTGCACAAATTTCGCACGACGTCTGTGCTTGTGATGAGCTCCATTTGTAGCAAGATTACCTTCATTGAAAATAAAAGTCAGAACGGGATATCGATAAAGAATGTGCCTACAGCAAACCTCGATCCATCAAGTTGACATCAGCCTCTAGAACATCTCAGTTAATCTAAGTTTGTTCAAGTGCTAGCAGGCAGCTCGTACAGAAATCAGGTATGAATAGCTATGCAGCTTGCATACAGAAAGAGAGGCTAGAAGGAATAAATAATAACTATAGCTGCAGAGAGTAATGATACCTTCACAGCAGACAAGACTACAGCACAATTGGCATGCTGCAGGCGAGGAGTTATGCGCTCTACAATATTTTCAGCATCTCGGACATCTTTAGCTTTGTATTTGGATAAGGCATCCAGTATAAAAACCTGACCCCACCTGCAATCATAGGTATAATTACTCCATGCTCAATAGAGACTTAACTCAATTCAGTAACTATTAAAATCAAAATTTAAGCGAAAGCAAATGTGCACGATGAGAAGGAATGATGCATAAAATTAAGCTAATAACATCAACAGGTAACTTTGACCATTTGGATGAAAGTAAGTGCGTGTGCTTATGTGTGTTTGTATGTGAATATTAATTTTTTTGAAACAGAAGTCCAGTCAGGGTAACAAATACTCTGTGCACTCATTTAGAGCCGCCAAAAGCTTGAACAGTGTATGATTTGTGATCTCAAAAATAGTCTTGCTGCTACCCTCTTGAATTTCAGCAAGTGCTGCCACGGCGTTAGCAACAACCATAGGATTGCTATCAGATATCATGTCCTTCAGAGCCTCGAGAAACCCTCTGTCCTCTACCAGCTCTGCGTTGATGTCATACAACTTAGCAACACAAACGGCCGCAGTTTTTCGAACATAAGGATCATCATCCTGCATGACCAACCAAGTTCGGATGACCGAGAAATACAAGAGAGACAGGCTTTCAAGGATTCTATGTATCTTGAAAATAAGCGTTTTACTTGCAACATTCTCTAGACCAGAGACACCTTTCCAATTATGTCAAAAGATCGATGGCAAAAACAAAGCACGGTCAGTTCCAAGCAATGAATAAGAAACAACGCATATACTGACCTTTAAACACCTTTGCAAAGGGTCACATAAGTACTCCGTAATCTTATCAACCCTGATACAACCCATTGTCCTGACAGCTAGTGCCCGAATTAAAGGATTTGGATCTTGTGAATCCTGTGAAAATAAGTAGACATCATTATTTTCATAACAGAATGAAAAGAAATTGGTACGAATTATCTGATATGTAATCGCTGTATCGACTATTGCAAGAGCAAAATGATACAAAACATTTCACGGCATGCATAAAACGCTTCGGAGCATGTAAATACAAACCTTCACAAATGTGTTTACAGCAAGGATCGCAAGATCAGGGTGGCTCTTAGCATAGTTGATCAGGTACAAATATACAAGCTTCTTGAGCTCCAAATTTTCTGTTTGCATACAGTTCACCACATCTGTAAACAACATGGACACATCCTTTCCAACGGTCATCGCAGCAATAACCTTCTTCACTGCATCCTTCTTCTTATCCTGCAAACACGACACATTTTGTGTCACAAGCAGAGAAGCACCAGAGCTATAAAGTTTGTTAAGGACGTTCAGATCAAACAACTTCACAAATATAAAGCATGCAGATAAGCAGAGTCTCACCAGATAAAAGAATCCATCGCATACGAAAAGACATCAATCCACAAAGGTGTTCTCACAGAATATACAGACATATGAAATTTCCGTAATGCTAAGTTAGAGAATCTGCGAGCCACATTAACTACAGAACGTATAATACGAAGAAAGGACCTGAGGAGGAAAAAAGAGATTTGTAAAAACACAAGACGAAGTTACAAAATTAGCTAAGAAGTGGTAATAAAACCCTACGAATCAAACGTCACATATTGTGCAACAGCTTCTGTCACACATCTTACATGTGCATCAAATTCAATCCTTTAAAAGAGAGGTCTATCCTTCAACCCCGAGTGCACGTGCCTCTACTACGAAAATAAAGTTCATAACATGGGGACGGGGCAACGCAAGCGACAAGTGCATCAAGCGAATGATGCGTGTTTGAGTTCAAATTTGCATTACGTTTAGAGTAATCAAAAACATTGCTGACTGAACCTCATCTAAGTAGGTTATACAAATGCGGTCAATTTCGTAATGCTGAAAATAGAGGTCAAGAGTGGGATGATGATCATTAGGACGACTAGCTCTTAGGAAAATAAACCAAGAACGCGCTTTTGACGCTATGTATGTTTAAGTGGACTAATTGCATGTATCCCAGCACATCGGAACATCCTCAAAAAGTATTTGGCCCGAAATAGTATAAGATCGCCTACTCCAACCTAGATCATTCTCTTTCTCTAAAACATCAGCTGGATTCGAGCGCAAAAATCTACAATTGTTCTCACTGTAACAAGACAGTCACGAAATCAAGCTGCTGACCATAAAAAACCTCCAATCGACAGGCCTTAAAACTACTCACGCGCACGGAAATGCGCAATAACAACTTTGACTTGACCAACAATCACCAATCACAGATCCATAAACCTGTGGAATGCCAGAAATCCACCAATCCAGAAAGCATTCGAGCCTGGTTATCATCGCAAACAATGCCTTCGCGAAAGAAACATATCCCGAAATCCTTCAGCAAAAGCAGAGCAGTACCCGTCAAGCAGAAATCATCGTACAAGAATTTCGTCGCACTCTCCGAACCTCGAATAGAAAAAAACTAACCAACTTACCAAGAAACCTAAAATGCAAGAAAGGAAACCTTACCTTGTACTGTGAATTGAGCTCCTCCTTGAGCTCATGGATCTCGCCCTTCTTAGTGGTAGTGAAATACTTGGCGTCATGGCCGCTCATGGTGCCCTGCTGCTCTTTTCCAGAATCATTCACCACCGCAATCCACCGGCAGGTAGGGACAGAGTGAGTAAGCCGATGGCGAGCGTGGATCGGTGCAAAATCAGCCAGCAGCAACAACAACAACACCAACAAGGGAGGGCAACAACATCACTCACTCACTGCCCTTTCTGGTTTCCCTCTTGTGCTTGGCCCTCCAACCCCCCATTCATCTACCTTCATCAGTCTTATTCATCCAGCCCCTGGGAAAACAGAGAGGAATTGGTCCACCCAGGGGAACCATCCACCACATTATCATCCACTCCTTCATCCATCACGGTCTGCTTTGACGGCCCTCTTCTGCGTCTTCTTCTCCTGCTTCTCTCTTCGCCGGGGTTGCTTGGAATTGGCGACTTGGTAATCGTGCCCCCAGCCCCAGTGTGGAGCCGATCGAGAGCACGCAGCTTCAGTGTGGTTTTCTCTGAGCATGTGATTGATTTTCTTCTTCGATCCGTAGCGGTGGTTTTAGGTGTCATTTTGTCGCGTTGGAGGGGGGGGGATCTCCAGGGACTCCTCAAGTGTTGCTGTATCAGTGAACTCGATCCTCGCCATGGGAGTTGGTAGAGTAGAGTTTTGCTGTGTGGTTTCCGCCCTGCTGATCTTCGCGCTTCAATGTGCATTCTATGGTGTCCAAGGAGAGGTGCTGTCTGAAGCAACATGCGAAGACTTAGGGTTTACTGGTCTAGCTCTGTGTACTGATTGTGACTCTATTGCTGAGTATGTGAAAGACAAAGGTGCTTGCGTCCCCTGCCTTACTTGTTTGTAAATTTCTAGTGGTTTATTGATATTGAATTGGCACTCTCTACTTTGTAGTCAAGCTATGCAAGGTAATTGAAGAGCAATTGCCAATCCACAACCGTGCTTTTGAAACTGATGCGTTATTTCTTGCAGTCATTGATAAAAATTCAACATTTGTGTATTTTCACAAGTTGAACTCATGTGGAGGTTGTGGAAGTCATATCTTTGAGTATTCTCAACTTGCTCAGTTTTTATTTGCGACAGATGGCTAGTCTTATGCAAAATCTGATATCGGTTGTTCGAGGCGGCAGTGCAGTCCTTGGAATCGATGCATCAGTAGATTTAGCTCTATTACCAGCCAAAAGACAAACTAAGTGAGGAGTTAAACATGGCTTAATCCTTAATGTGAATGCAGAGTTGGAGGCTGATTGTCGAAAATGCTGTGCAGAAGAATCTGAGAACGCCTTTAGCAAGGTTTGTCTTTTTTGTCGTGAAGTCTCCACCCAACTTTCGGGCATGAAGCTATTTTTTTCAATTAGTAAATAAGTTTGTTACAAAACTTTTTTTGTCAAAATTGGGGAGCTGTTTAGCAGACTTTCGAGGTCATACATTATGAGCGATTTTTTTGTGTCTGGAGGGGTACCATTTGATGTGTACATGATATAACGAGTTTCTGATTGTGCAGATGAAGTATGCTGGAGCAGTGTTGGAGATTTGTTTGAGAAAGGTGATGTTTTATCCAAATGTACAGACCTTCATTGACGATAAGTTGATCGAATTTCCTGAGGTGGACATGCAATACCGTTTTGGTGCACCGCCAAAGCTTATTATGAAGGACGAAAAGGGCAACCACAAGGAATCTATTCGGTACAGTACACCTAAATTAATTCTGTTTAATTGTTCACACTGGTTTTATCCCAGACATATCTGGCAAGACCGTGGTCTGGGTGGTTCCGAGGCACGTCTAGTTATTAGTCTTTTTGCAGATCTTTGGGCATTATGTTCTATGCTAAGACAGGGCCATGGGAGTGCAATCAAAGTCGAGACTGGATGGATATGAGTTTCGTTTCACGTACGTTTTCTGTGCACGCAGGATTGATAACTGGAAGACGGATCAGATTGAGCAGTTTTTAAAGGAAAAGGTTGTATCAAAGTCGAGCACATAAGAATATGTATTGCAATTCTTCTTATTTATCATGGAGGCAGACAACAAATGATCTCTTTATAGCGTGTTCGTGGTCTGTCTTTGATTGGGTATTAAGGTGTAGCTTTCAAATAGGCTTTTGCACATTTTTTTTTTAATCAGGTGTTCTTCAAAGTAATGTATGTCTGATAAACATTATTTTTTACAATCACATTCTTAGGTCACTAAATATGAGATTCTATAGGGCATATAATTTATCTTGCATTTGAATCTTTTGCCTTTTGAATGTGTAAATACCCATTGGTTCTTCCAAATTTTGTTGCCATATCCTGACTTGTTATAATGAATTTATAATGAGTTTACAGCTTTTTCAGAACATATATATATATAAAATTCATTTTCACTCTTAAAAAGTATTGTTGTATTTATAAATTAAATTATAAATAATTAAAGAAAAAAAAAATTCGAGCAACGGTTATAATCTACAAAGTATTACAGACAGACATACATACTACTATTTACTATGTTATTTTCAAATTATAAATTTACAATATCAATGTTCGAATAATAATCTCTTATTTTTATTGTTGATTTTTTAAGGGGTTTAGTCTGTGTCTTTTGGAAAGCTGCCATTTGTTTATTGGTTGATGAGATGATGTTAAACTTAATTTGCTTCAGTTTGTACAACTATAAGTTTCTATTTTAACACATCTTACTGATGGATTATCATGTTTGTGTATGTATGTTTCGATTGTTTAACTAAGAAAGAAACCAATTATTTTGCTTTTATAGACATCTGCTTCAGTCTGTTTGGAAATAATCTGTCTAAGAATAGAGTATAATTTCTAGTTTAATCAGAATTTCTTGATGACTCTATCCTCGTTGATGTGAAAAGCTTCTGCATTGTTTTAGATTGAATAGTCTCAAAGTTAAACCATTTGCAGTCATGAGTTTTTTTTTTTTTTTTAAAAAAAATAAAAGGTACTGATTGACTACACGTTTTTAATCTTGTTACACATCTCATAATTTATTATTATAATACTAAATTAATAAAAAAAACATTTTTTTTTAATTGAGAAAAATCAATTTAACATATGAAAGAATGAACTGTAAGGTTAACTTCTGTAAATATTATTCATGTGTTTTCTTAAGGAAGTTGCTGTTATTTATTTATGCAATGTGATTGTGTGTGTTTTTGTAATATCATGGGTGTGATACTTCAACAATAACTGCTACTCAAATACTTGATCCATGGTCTTTTAAGAATTCAACAAGTAAAACGCAAGTCTCTGCAATATGGGAAAGGTGACAGTCTCCTGCGTGCAAATCTTGTTGGGAGAGAGAATTTATCAGGGGGCTGAAAATATGAAATGAAATAAATAAAAATAAAAATAAAAACTAAATAGCTTTGTGTTTTCGTCTCTCTCTCTCTCTCGCTATGTCTGTATTCAAATATACACATATACAAGAATATATATATATATATATAGGCAATGAGGGCATCGTTCAATGAATTGCATGGGATAGAACCCCTTCGCGACCACAGGTACGTCGTATCACGTGGCCGGCGACTATCAGTCGGGGTCGGGGTGTGCAGAGGGCAAGGGGAGCACCGAAGCGCAACAGACGAGGAGAAAACTGGAACTGAGCCAGGAGGAAGAGGAAGAGATTTTCCCCCAGGTCTCGTGTCAGATTTTGTGTGTATTTTCCCCCTTCCACCGGCGCAGTGGGTCGTTTGAGCTTGAGCGAGTATCTTCTGCGCGGTTGGAGGGAGTTTTGAGGTTCTACGAGGAGGTGATTTCGAAGCGCGGAGCAACATGGGGGAAGAAAAGCGCCATGAGATGATGGAGACATTGTTCGGGGCGGAGTCCGAAGACTCCGATGACGAGCCTGAGCCCGCCCGTCAAGCCATTTCCGATCAAGTATCTGATCGTTCTGTAAGCAGCCCTCATTGCCCTCTTCATGCGTTTGCTTTTATTATATTATCGTTTAACCCTTACTTACTCTTTTCCGGGCGTGGACCGCACCTTGCCATAACGTTGAAGGTAACGAGGTAGCGAACTTGTCGAGCTAAAATGGTTATTCATGCTGAGAGTGCTGTGGTTCAGTGGCGGAGCTCAGTTTCATCGTTGCACAGTCCATTGTGACCTAGTGCATTTTTGTACGTGGAATTGTCTTTTCACAACCCGAACGTAGGTTACGGGAGTATTAGGGTTTCGATTTTTTTTTTCTTTGTCGTTGTAGAAATGTGCCTATACAGCCTTATGTATGAAGTACCTGGTAATTTCGAGAGTGAATATGAATACATTTTGAACCAATTGCTTACAATTGCATCATTTCTGTCTTGTTTTCTTAACTTGAAGTGTTTCTAGGACATTAGGTCTGCTCCAGCCAAGCTGACTCTGTTTTTCGTAGCCTTTTTCATCAGAAGTAGTTGAGTTGAGTGTTTGCATTTTCAGTTTCGGATGGTTGTAGTATGTTCAATCAGAAGCGGTAGGTAGGGTGTCGTGTATGGGTTAGAGATTTTTTGTGGGCTCGTGGACTGTACGTACAAATATGTGAGTACAGCTATCGTTGTTAGTCCCAGTAGAGTACGTCGCTGTAGTTGTAGAAGACTTCCTTCACAGACATGCCAGAATAATTCGGGGATTTTTCGTGTTGTTTAACTGTTCAATATTATCAGTAATTCTCAATTCCGAGTATTCAATGTCTTTAGTGTGGTCCATCAACCTCTCCTTTGTCCATCAATTCAAGAAGTATGCCGAACTATGAATGTCACCTCTTCTTCGTGTTTATTTCGTTTTATAGTTGCTAGAGCATAGGTTGTAATCAATCTATGTATTTATCTTGTTTTAAAGTTTGGAAACCTCATTCTATGTTGAAGGATAAAGAAGGGAGTTACGAAGAAGCCGAAGCGGAAGAAGTAGATGGTGACGTTGAGGTAGAGGTCGAGGGGGAGGCAGAAAGCGAAGGGGAAAGAGGTGAGAGTGATGCTGAGCGAGGAGCAAGTGATGAAGAAGAAAGAGCTGACAGTGATAGAGGGAGTGAGGATGGGAGAGAAGTTGAGAGTGAAGGGGAACGTGACGGTGAAGTGGAGGTCAGCGCCAGTGGCTCTGATCGTTCGCATCAGGTCCAAATTGCGGGAGATTACGAAGATGAGGATGTCCAGGAAGAAGCTAGGGGCCAAAGGTAGTTCTTAAACCCAGAAATGTCCTGAATCAACTTTTAAAACAACAAAATTACATCCTCCGAATAAGTTATTGCAATAGCTCTCGCATATTTTAAGAGGCTCTCCGTTTATTGTAATAGCAAACCGGCCAGTTATGGATTGTGTGCTTCAACCTGCATCTTCTTTACTTCCCTTGCATTTACAAACCTGCTCCTTGTTCTTGTGGTATGGTCTTTGGTGAACAGCGAAGGCGAGGAAGAAGAGCAACAAGACGATGAACCGAGGGAGAGGATTGAAGTGGCAGAAGCTCGTGACGTGTTTGGTGAGTCAGATGAAGAAGATGATCAAGAACCAGAACAAGAGCCGGAACAAGAAGCTGAAGAGCGTCGTAGCCCCGAGGAGAGTCTGCTGGGCAGTCCTGAGGTGAAATGCCCATTTTATTTCATAGTAGTTTGCAGCGCCAAATCTCTTTCTGGACGTTTTGAATTGCATATTTCGTCAGCTCGTCATCAATCTAGCGTTGGTCATGCAGTCGCTCCTTTGAGCTGTAGAAATCGTACGTGGACTTATTTGAATTCTGTCTTTTAACAGAGGGTTCGTTCGGACGACGAGGGAAGTGAAGGGGATCCAGCTCGGGTTGAGGATGTTGTTGGGGACGATGATCGTGAAGGTTCTGATCGCTATGAATCTGATGATGAGCGGTATATTGAGCAGAAACCTGAGAAACCTATGGGCCCTCCTATAGAGCTTCAAGTTCCATTGCGTCCACCACCAGGCATGCCTGACCAGGTAAGTTGATAACCATGCAGTGTTCTCGAATACCTCGGTATCGTATCGAGTTTATTATAACATAATATGTGGTTTTACATCACTCATCGAGGATTTTAGCCCTAGTTTTCACAATCCTTGATGAATGATGTTTTGTATGTGGGGATTTGCAGCTTAATATTGTTCGAATGTCCAATATCATGAACATCGATATGAAGCCGTTTGATCCCAAGACATACGAGGCAGAGGAAATGTTCACAACTGATGTTGAAGGCAAGAAGCAACATATTAGGCTGGAAGAGAATATCGTGCGTTGGCGACCTGTTCACAATCGAGACGGATCTACCTCTGTGAGTGTTTTCATTACTTGATTTTATTTTCTATATATCTTATTAGTGAGCTATTCTTTGCGCAATCGGAGACTTGGATCGATTGCTAAAGATAAGATGGAGATTAGGGAATAGGTATTTTTCTGAGTTTTTTTCAATTTTCATGTGTTGAGTAATTTCTGGTTTAGAGCAGCAGGAGTTGGAATCCGTTGCAATAGATTTCTGATTAATTTGACTACTTGATATATTGAACATTGGACTTTGCGTTTGCTGGTTTTGCAGTATGAAAGTAATGCGCGTTTTGTTAAGTGGTCGGATGGCAGCATGCAGCTGCTTCTGGGTAGTGAGGTCCTGGATTTGTCGGTCCAAAATGCTACTCAGGACCAGTCTCATCTCTTCCTCCGCCATCCCAAGGTCTCCGAGCACTGTGCTACTCTTTTGCTGTGCTCACTTTTTGGGTGCTGTTTTTTGCCTCCTTGTTCATATACTGTATTTGGTAACGTTTTCGGTTTTCGTAGCTACGTCACCTTATTAATTCCTTTCGTAGTTGGTAAAATGACTTCGTATATCATCATCATCATTATTGCGAGGGTACCTGAATGCAGAGCATTTTACAATCTCAAGGCCAAGTTTTAAGGAAGATGAGGTTCATGCCATCGTCCTTGACCTCTAAATCACATCGTTTACTCACTGCGCTAGTGGACTCTAAGCATAAGAAAGTTTTCAAGGTCAAGGCTGTTATCACTGAAACTGACCCAGAGAAGGAGAAACATGAAAAAGAGAAGGTAACAGCCTTAGTTGTGCCTGTCACAAGTCCAGGAAACTATGTGCGGAGAGAATGGTTGAGTTTGTGTTATAGTTTTCAAGTTAATCTTTTGTAAGGAAGAACTTTATCTCAATTGTAGGAGGTTCTGGTATTCCATCTTTTCAGGTGTAGCTTAGTCGAAATTATGTCTTGAATTCCATGCATCTTACTTAATTGCCAACAGTTTTAATTCTAGTTACATTTTTTTGCAATTTCGGATACTTGTCTTCATGGGATGTACTTTCCGATCGATTGTGTGTACGTTGATATTCACATCAACTTGAAATTTACTCACTTAACATAGCATAATGGGTTATGTGCAGCAAGCTGAGCAGCGTATTAGGAATAAGGAAGATCTTCAACGAAAGCAGGAGAAGTTAGGCCGCAGATACGAACCTCCTAGGCCGCGTGTGATAGAACGTGAGCGTGGGCTATCTCCTGGTTATTTAGAAGATGCTTTGGAAGAGGTATGTGCTGTTTATCCCTGCTTCCTTGAATGATACATTCTTATAAACATTTAACTCATCGTACGAAGTTTGAAACTGAGTATGTTGGCTGCGACCTGTTGTACAGGAGGACGAACCAGACCAGTACGATAGACGTTCTCGCCGGTATCAAGATCAGTTAGAACAAGAACAACGCGCTGAGAGAAGAATTATGCATGCTAAGCGGGTAATCTTCGACTTCTTTAGACCAGCAAGTTGTTACTTGTTTAACTAAGAATAGGTCTGCATGTTTTATGGAAAAGCCCCACGTTCAAGCCGTTAAAGCTTGTAATTTGCAGGTTCTAACTTATAGCTTATTTAAATGCACTTGGTTTTCCGCTCCAGTAGCTTTGAGTGTCACCTCCACAATCTGTACTCATTTGAGTGGAACTGTGACAGCAAGCACCTGCGAGACCACCTCCCAGCAGACCTGCGAACAGGCGTCCGCTTCCTAAGGATGACTTCCTGGACGATTCCTTTGACGATGAAAGTGACAGAGAGCCATCAGCACAGGAGAGTGATCACAACGACGATCTAGTGGGTGGGGCATGGGAAGAGGAGGATGATGAAGACGAGGAGGAAGAAGAGTTAAGGCCACCTAGCAGGGGCAAAGCTGTAGAGCGTGAGGTTAGCACTATTCTTTTGACACTGCTAGTATTAATATTCTACTGGTAGGTAATTTTCTATCGTTCTAATTTCCTTATTGAGCTTGCCAGACGTTCTTCTCTGTTTGTGAAGCTTCTTGGTGATATTGTGTTGGAGTACTGTTTTAGAGAGCCAAAATTTGAGTTGGTGCTTCTGTTGAGCATTTTATATGAGTAACCGGCCTCTTACGTATGCCCGTGCTAACAGGAGAGAAGACGTGGAGATCGTGAGGAAGATGATAGGAAGCGGAAGAGAGACAGGGAAGAGCGATCTCCGTCTCCAGCGAAGAAAGCAATGTCTCGTAGAAGAGTCGTTGTCAGTGACAGTGAAGATGACGACTGATGTACCTCTCAGTAGTCTCTTCCTCTTTCCACCTTGTTGTGGTTGTATGATATGGTGAATTTCTGGAGAGGTGCCTTGAAGTATGGACACTAGTGCAACAGCAGAATCACTTTTTGAGCTGATGACATGTCGAACGATTCATGCTGCTGCTCAGCGATCGTGTAGTCGTGGTACAGCATCCGCATATTTTCCTAGATTGGTTACATCAATGCGCTTGCAGGTTTCTTTGAGATTTGTCCCGTAAGTTGTGATTGGTAATTGCAGAACATAAGTCGAGCATTACTTTTGGTGCTTTACAGAAGTCTAACTCAACTGCTTAACATTGAATATAATTTCTATTTATACACATGTATGTGTGTGCCGACTCAGTACATGTTTTTCTAGTCCAGAGAGACCTTGCTTGGCCTGAATGGAGTGGTTGACTGTTGAGTTCTTGGTGTAGGAGCTTATCTTGTGCAAGACTCATTTTGTCCATGACTGCTAAACTGACATCTCACCTTGTCCTTGCGAAGGCGCACGTCGCTATTAAAAAAAAAAATAGACTCATAAATCACGACAACGCTAATACACTGAAGATTCTCGCCAATATCTGCTACAGTATCACATGTAAAAGATGAACAAGCGTGATTCGTGGGCCCTCCCACGTCGGTGTTGAACTGTAATTATCCAGGGCTGCAGTGATAAGTGAGAGTCGTGCTGGAGAATATCCAACCCCTGGCATTTCCCCCTCGCCCCTCTTGCTGTTGCTCTCTTCTACTCTTCTTTCTGTGTGGTTTCTTCACTCAAGGATTGACCTGTCCTGCAGACCTACCTACTGTCTCTATCGCCAGGAGGTCCTTGACCACCATGACATTGGGATCTTTAAGCTCATCTCGATTAGTGCATGAAAGCTGTACATCCACGCAGTCCCTATTATATGCTTTTATTCCTTATATAATTGAATAGAATATTTCCTTGATGATTTGTTGCATTCCATAATCTTTGGTATGACTGTAGAGTTGTCCTTTTCTGAAGTGTATGTATGATTGATTTAGTTATACAAACATACATACTTGCAGATGATGGTAATTTTTAGCATAAAATATCAATTCTATTTTTAGTTGGTTGCTAAGGCAACACCCCCACATTGTTAAAGCCACACCTCACATGGGTACTCTTGTTTGAGTGCTCTCTCTTGCTGCTCTTTACTTGTGTCTAGTCTTGCTCTCTTGTGTCCCTCTCCACTTGTGCATACACACTAGATCCTCATTCTGGATGCTTCCTCCATCCAAATGCAAGTCACCATAGTGGTCGACCTTCTCCAAAAAGTCTCAAAAGGAATTGTGAATTGTGAAGTGTAATCCCAAAAGGAATTGCAATGCAAGCAACCACATCTTTCAAGATGTGACTTCAACAACATGGAGGTGATGCTTTAGCAATTCCCTATTTTTATGAGTAATAAAAATATCTTCATGCACACTTATTCATCATCAATTTGAAATATCAAAAATAAGATAAATTATTTTCTCCCCTTCTTTCATTTATCTATCCTGGATAAACTACACTTAAACACATAAATGCATGGATGAATACTTTGATATGAGGATGTGGTGAAGGATGAATGTAAAGAGAGATCCCTTTTTGTGGTGCATGTACTTGTAAAGGATGAATGTTTGAGGTAAAATTTAGTTTGGTCTCATTTCCATCATTTTTTGTGTTATATTATTTACATTAGTATGCTATTTGCATATCTACAACATACATTGCAAAAGTGATGATTAATAATGAAATGGTATTTTAAAAATACTGTATTGTTTTATTGATGAAATGAAATTTTGTTTTTGTTTATAAATGAAAGGAATCAAGTTGTGTCAGCGAGGAAAACCTTATAAAACACTTTTGAACATCTGTTTCATTGAACACACCATTTATATTATATTTATTTATTTATTTATTTTGTATATACTGCAAATGATTCTCTGATTTTCCTTGTTGGGTATGTTGAAGGCTTTGCCATCAAATGTGCACAAAGAGTTCATGAATTGAACCTGCTCTTACATTTGAGTGTGGTAAAATTATATAAATATTAAACAATTGTAGTAATTAAATGAATGAATTCTATTATGTAAACTACGAGGTTCATCGGAGATTGTTTAAAAAAATATCATGAATAATATATTTTCTTCTTCTTCTTCTTCTAACTTGGTCAACAAAGTCAAAGGCAATAATGTGTTTGAAATAATGTCAAAAAACCATTTTAGATGCAGTGGTGGCTTCTCAATTGCTTTTAGATATTCCAAGAAAAGTCTCACTAAAGTAAACCTTTCATGTGCACAAAAATAATGCCTTCTACATTCTAATAACATGCAGAAGAACTTGAATGCTTCCAAAAACATCATTATTTGTAAAAAGAGAAGTAAAAAGAAGAAGAAGGTTACAAATCTTTGTTATTTACTGTAGATGGTATGAATCAAATTATTGACTAATATTTCTAGGTTTTGTGAGTTTTTGAAGAGATTTGAAAATTTATACTTGAAGACACATTTTGTGGACAGAATGTTCTTGTATTCATGTAAATATATGGATGTGTTTTTGTGTGTGTGTGTAAAGCATAGCTGATGTGTACTGAACACAATTTAACCACAACCAACAATGCTTAATTTTTGTCTGAACATCTAATTGAATTACACAAAATTGAAAGCATAACTTAGAAGTTAGTAGTAGAGAAGAAAGTGAGTATTAGCACAATGGAACATCCAACAATTTTCATTTCACCCAGTATTATTTTGACCAATTACTAGTACTAATATTGAAATTTGCCTTGAAACATGCAGGGTCCAGTTAATAAAAACACACTCAGGCTTCTCCTTCCAAGATATAGACAAGTATGAGTGGACATGTATATATATATATATATATATATACATATCAAGGGGTGGATTTCACCACAAGTCATGCACATGGTGGCACTGCGATCCATGTCAGTGGCAGGCCACCTCTTCAAGCACGGAAAAAGAGGCTGTTCCTTGCGTCGCCATTAATACTGGAACCAACAAAAGGACAAATCTCATGTCTATATATATATATATGTAAAAATGAGCATTCATCTCTCCATTCACCTTCAGAATCGAAACGTGAATATGGCAATCAAACTTGATTGAGTTGGGCGGCAGAGATGCGCTAAGTGCTTTTGGTATTTGCGATGGTATGGTGGTAAGCGTGAAGAGTAAGGGGGAATGGAAGGAGTGGAGTGGTGGCCAGGCCAGGGACAGTAAGGGACTCCCGTGAAGCACACGCACTGGCACTGCCGGATGCTGATGCTGCCGGCTGTCTAGCTGGCTCCGTGGTCGACTGACTGAATCCGATGCATCCCGCATTCACTGTAGACATGGCGCGGTGGAGCGGGCGACGTTGTCGCCTTTCAGGCACGATTCATGCCAGACGCAGCGAATAAGCCCCGCGTTCTTGGCATTGGCGCTTTTCCTGGAATGCCATGCTGCACTTTGACGTACCTGGTCAGCAGTCCTCATCGTTTCGTGCCAGTCGAGCGCAACCAGGGCCACACCCGTCTCTGCTTTCCAGTTGTTTGAGTCCACTGCAGTCAATTTCTCTGCTTGTAAACAACTGTTTACAGACATACAATGGATTTCCAGATGGCAAGATGATTGCACGTTCTTGAAATCTGATGAGCACGATCACCTCCCGACAATGCCGCATGACTTGCGCTTCACCCCGCTCAAAGCATCTCATTAACACTCATTCCCAATCGACGATATGGATATTTGCAACTCCGGTACACATGTATTTTAATAAACAGTTCCAGTCCACAATCGAATCCCTAAATAAAAGGATTTTAGTTATTCAGCGCTTCCTTGATCAGCACATTACATGAATAGATTAACAATGTGTCCTGCCAATAATGTCTTGGGATCACTTCCTCGTCCGTGGATACAGCAGCTCCATGACTAATCCTGACGTGAATGCTAAGCCTCATTACCCCGAGATCTAGTAAAGAAGGTAAGCAAGGGTGCTCATCAACACAATCGAAACAGTCGGTGCCACGGTGAAGGCATCGCTAGATGGGGATGTGGCGGGTCCGGGTCCTGCAGCGGCGGGAGGAGAGTCTGTGGCAGTGGGGGTCTCAGCTGCAAAAATTCAAAACCACGTATCTACAATCAGAAATTATTCAAGTACTTACATATATTGACCATGTCCATCGCATCCCCAACACTAACTGATAGCTTAAAAAGCTCCAATCTGAAATAGAATCGATCGGGAAAGGACGTAGAACACGAACAGTCGAACCTGAGGGTGATGGTGGTGGAGGAGGAACTGAAGCTGGACCCGACGCAGCGGGAGGAGAACTGGTGGGTGGCTGGAAAGGAGACCCAGCGGGAGGGGGTACTGTTGGAGCTCCAACTGGAGGCGTGGCCGTGGGGGCCGAAGCTGGCTCTTGGGCAGCAACCTGAACGATCACGGAGGCAAATAGAGTCACCAGGCACAACGCAGATGCGATTGACATGGTGTTAGATGAAGCCATTGCGTGCAGATAGATCGTCGACAAAGCAACTTGTGAGAGCTCAGACGGATCGAGTAACACAAATGATGACCCTGGCAATTCAGAAATGCAATGATGATAAGAGGGAAGTGAGAGAGGACAAGAATTAGTGATTTTGGTGATGGTGCTGCTGGACACTAGATGGAGAGCTCTGGAGTTGGAGCCTCCGAATGCGAGACTTGTGGGAGGTAGTGAGCGGGCTCATTTAAATGTAGGGAAGGGGTCGTAGCCAAACGGGACATGTGCGCGGCCCAATAGCACGGGACCCCAAGAACCACCGAAATCTTTTTATGGAATAGACGTTCTTTCTAAATATAATCCAGTCTTGGCAATGTAGGCCTGTCACGTGTACAGGCTGGAACTCTGATATATGGTAGCGTAATGGAACAGTATTGTTCAGGAAACCACGCTTATGAGTGCAATAATTTCTTCCTTAGACTCGCGATTCCGACAGTTTGTTACTCGCCCCCTTGGAACTCGGTGTTGAAATATTACGCCCTCAACCAAGCGGGCATCGTAAACCATTTTTAGACTTGTTATGACTCACTTAGTCGGAATGATAATACACTCGCGGAACTTCATGCTCCACTTGCAATTCTTCATTTCACTGGTTTAATTAGTTGGACCTTGCAGCAACTTGCAGGTAGAAACATCTACAAGTTACGCCTCACCGGCTTGGGATCGTCATTGCAGAGATTTCAAATTCAGCCTCCACAGATGAATATTCGCTTGGGAGGATTCTCAATCTGAGGTTTAAAATGAAATAATAAACAAAACGAAACAACTATGATTGACCATTGGGCTCTAAATGGAGGATACTCGTTTTGGTTGTTTGCCCTAAAACTTCTCCTTAGGAATTTGAGATTATGGATGATTCTTTTCAACCTAGAAACATTATTCCCCGCTCTCAGGTTTCAACGGCAATTGTTAGGGAACCACAGAACAGTAATTGCCTCGCATTCTGGGGTTGCCTCTATAAACATAAACAAGCTCGCTTCCATCACAAGCGAAATCGATCTGAATCATTCCTCAAAATCAAAAAAAATCAAAAAATAGAAAACAAAAATCCAATAACTCATAATACAAGATAACACACACCGTAAGTAAACTTTGAAACGTGAGAAAAGGAAATCCACATAACGACACCTGCCTGCAATCCGGATCACAGTAGACTCCTGGGGCATCCATTTGACTCAAAGCTATAGATCTTTTCAATGCCTGTTAGGAAGAAGATGGCCATGATCTGTCGTACAGGTCTATGTCTGCGAGATGGAGCAGATTGTTTAGACGAGGTCGCCCTGTAAGCGTCAAAGTCGTCGTTCGCCAAAATGATAGGTGGCGAGAAGGTCAACTCTCTCTCATTTCTTACGTCCAAAGATTTCTAACCCCGAAAATAGGCGTGACCATGGGGGATGGATGGACACCGCGATCAGTCATGCGAATAAACCCCAACACGAGAACATGAGCTGTGGGTGGGCATCAACTAGGTCAGTGGCCAGTCCCAACATCTTCTTTGTCTGCAATATATTTCTGACTGCCACGTCAATTCAAAACTTCAGCCTTCTCCATCTAGCACCGTGGTGCAGATACTGAGTTCTGATGATTGCAACACGCCGGGGGAGCTTGGGCTACGCTTGTGATCTCTTATTCTACTGTTCCGGTGGTTGTAGAAATTCGACAGATACAATATTCTCATAATTACATAAAAAGTGACAATGCAGCATTCTCATCCGATGAGGCCATGCGTCATCGATTCATTAGATCGTCAAGAGTGATGACCCAAGACAATAAATAATGTGGGCATCTTTCGGGAGAAACGAAGCTGCTCCCAAGAACGGGACTGCTGAGAGCATGACCCTTGTCTAACGAAACACATCCATCTCATGTGGGACCAGTGGAGTGCTCAAAGTGAGGCTGAATTGTGTGTGGGTGGGGGGATTCCGGGCGGCGAGCAAGCGGCGCCAGGGGTGGGATGCGAAGAGCAGGTTGGGAATGTATCCAGGCTGGTGCGCTGCACTGCTGAGAATGCTGCACTGCGGATGATGATGATGATGATGATGCTGATCGCAGGGGAGCAGGAAAACTGGGCAAATGGGGATTGCGCTGGCTGGCCGGCTCTCCAGGAGAAGGGGAAGAGCAACGCCAAAGGGGAAGAAGAAGAAGAAGAAGAAGGGAGGTGAGGAATGGCGTGCTCGCCGGAGTAGAAGGGGAGCAGCCAAGTGAAGGAGGAGAAGTCTCGTGGGTAGGGTGGGGTGGGGTGACATGAAGAGGAAGAAGCGGCAGAAAGTCTGGCGGGGCCATCTCCCCGCGGTGTCGCGGCGGCACCCACGCGGCAGCGGCTGAAAGCTGGCGTGGTGGGGGGAGATGGTGGAGACTGAATTCCCGACACGTGGATCACGACCACCTCCACGTGGTCGGCTCCCGACTGCACAGTCATCGATGTGGACCCCTGTTTTCCATTTTTGGCACAAAACAATGATTGCCGAACTGAAACAAAATTGAGACTTCTAACTAATAGTGGTCATTTCATCATAAATCATTGAATTAGGTTTCACTATATTAAAGTTTTCTTTAAAAACAAAAAACAGGAAAAAATATAAAAAAATTTGGTTTTGGAAGTATATTGTTTAAAAACCTATGAGGTGGACTTTCATTTTACATATTTTGTAGAAAAAGAATGAAAATATTGAGTATTGATGCAATTGTTAAGATTTGTTGTCAATAATAACCCAAGAAGATGTCAAAATATGTTACTTATTAAAAATTTACTTTTTTTTAAGGAAAAATATTACACAAACTCCTAGAGTATGGTGAAATATCAAAATTCTTGATAACAATAAATGTACCTTCAAATATGATAAGGTACTACCAACCTAACATTAGAGAAGTGAATTTGTTATAAACTAAGTGTTACGGACACAGAAATACAGGCTCGAGATCTAACAAGAAGTCCAAGAAGAACTGGCAAGAACTAGATTAATCAGATGAATATAAGAATAATACCAGAGAAGTGAGCTAGAGCTCCAAGAGATGTATTGTCGAGACTGAAGAACTCTTTAGCCTCGATTCCAATATATTCTCCTATTTAGGAAGCTTCTCAAGCAACTTCTACCAACTACGAAGCTTCTAGAAGGTTCCAGAGACTTGCTTCTAGAAGATTCTAGAAACTTATCTCTAGAAGATTCTAAAGATTATGTCCCTAACATCTTCTACCAACTAAGAAGCTTCTAGAAGGTTCTAGAGACTTGCTTCTAGAAGGTTCTAGAAACTTGTCTCTAGAAGGTTCTAAGGACTATGTCCCTAACATCACCCCCTCCTTTAGCTTCAAGGTCTCTGAGAAGTAATGTTGTTGTTAATCAGTACCAACGCAAGAAAATGAAGATTTGTCGCATAACGTTTGCTATGAACTCCAACTGTTGTTCACGAGGCAAGTGGTTCATCGGCCCTTGAAGCCAACGGTAGTAGCCCACTCCTTCAACTTCTGACCAAGCATGAACTTCCGTGTCCTCATTGTCAAATTGTCCTGCAAATACGCCTTCTGGCTGACCATCATAAGCATGCTCAAACTCGAATACAATCACCAGTGATCGATTACTTGGTATCCTCCGTCGTCGTTGTGGTGTAGGTGATTCTTCATCTCGGGGTCGCCTTCGTGAGCTAGTTGGTTGATATAATTTGATTGACATAGTATCTATATCTTGGCTATCCATATTAGAAGACCAAGCTATGGCTACTGAAAAAATTCTACTTTATCTTGGAGAAAATAATTACATCAACTACGAATTTTGGTGGTGCTTTCTCCCTTTCTTATATTCTTGGATGAGCAAGCTTTAGAAGGAAGCTATCGTCGAACCGGCTTAGGTTTATGAGGATGTTGTTGATGAAACTCTTGTACCTTTTGTGGCGCATTGGCAAGATTTTCAGCTGGCTCCCACGTTTGCTCATTAATGTCATAGCCGCACCAATGAACATGATACTCCAACTTGCCCCACCTTTACCATGAATCCAACACCTTTTCAACCTCGCATTCCTCGTGGTTCTTGATCTCAATACTAGGTGGTGGACATTGCACTCTTCCAGGAAAAGACGACTCTCGATAAGGCTCCAAAAGAGAAACATGAAAGACTGGATGTACCTTCATAGAAGCCGGTAATTCCAGATGGTATGCCACTGGATTGATTTGCTTCTGGATGATAAATGGTCCCAATCTTCGATAGTCCAACTTATCACATGGTCGCTTAGACTTGATATTCCGTCGAAGAAGCCATGCTTTATCTCTAATTTTGAAAGTAGGTGCTTGATTTTGAAATCTATCTGCAGACACCTTGTAGGATTCTTGAGCGGATTGTAATTGAAGCTTCAACATATTTTGAAGCTCTGATAGTTGTTTCGTAAATCCTTCAACTACTGGATTGTTATTTGTTGACGGACTCAATAAATCAAGCTTCGGATGATATTCATATTTGGAAAAGAATGGTGTGTATTGAGTCAACGTATGGAGGGTATTGTTATATGCAAACTCGGCTAGCGGTGTCGTATTACGTGCTTTCCTGCTCGAGAACGTGCCGGGCGTCTGGCTGTAGAAGGTAGTATGGAGATTCGCTAATATTCAAACAGTCTATCAGTTTTTGACTATTGGAATATAAACAACTACAAGAATACATCGTAAATCTATACAGATGTCCTTCAACTGCTCGCCAAAGTCTTTTTTGCCCCAGCCGGTAGGTCTCTAAACGTTATAGAGAACCCCGAACAATCCAAACTGTTAATCTTCGATGCTGCTTTATACTCACGATCTTGTATCCATGGACTGTCTCGTTAGATTAATTCAATAAATTTCATTCACTCTGCATACTCAATCCTATAGACACCCTTTTAATTCTTCATCACAGACGTAACTCGATTTCACAAAACAGTCAAGAGTAATCAAACCCACTTCATTAAAAATCCCAATTCACCATTACAACACTGACTTCAGCAACAATTGCCTCAGTCTTCCCAAAACCCTATGAAGAAAAAAAACCCAATTCTCTGTCTTCTTTCCCCGCGCGAAGCATGAAGCTAGCTCTCTGATCCTTCAAAAAAAAACCCCCCCAAAACTTATTCTCCCCCCTCTCATTTTTTAACCTTAATTCTGAATTTCTTCAATCCTCCGTCTTGGATCCGGAATTGGCTCCCACCGTCAGAGCTTGGATCCAAAATTGGCTCTCGTCGTCAAAGCTTTCTCCTCCGTTTTTACCTTTAAGAGATCTTTTT